TGAATCGAACTCATCTTCTGAAATATAATAGTCTTTTTTAGAAAAGTGAGTTGATAATACTACATGGAAAAAGAAAGCTAATTTCAATTTGATCCATGAACTCCACATGAAACATAAATTTCAAGGACATTGCTTTAGTTGGTATTTCTGATTAAAACTATTAATTCACACTCTTTCTTGCATTATGACACATTAAATTAACACAGATGAAACTTGAAAAATAGTAAAACAGTGGAATGATACAGAGAAGAAAAAGAACAATATGTAAATCTGGAATTGTACTTCACTAGAATGTTTCTAGTTGTTAGTCTTAAGTTCATAACTTTATGCTTCTTAAGGTACGGAAAACCAAATCAAAAGTGTTCAAACATGGCTGTTTCAAAGTACCAGCATTGAAAAAAAAAAATGCCTTTGTTTTTCGTTTGTGGGTCAGAGTGAGGTGCTTGGCACATGAGAATGTTTAGCAGTCATGGACAGCATGTCCAAGAAATAAGAATGACCAAATAAGTAAGTTCAAGTTCTTTGTTTTGCAATAAAAATTATTCTCTATGGTCAGACTATCAAAAAGAATACTTAATTGAATTTATATGTCAAAATCTTCAGAAGTTTATAACATTCATATTCACAAGATGAATCTACCTTAAAGTAATGAGAAACATAAGATATTTACCTCAAAAACTTAAAATGAGATCATTCTGAGCCAACATTTAGGTGGCACCAGTTGGTAATAGAAAAGTACAAGTAATATAAATGAATAGTTAATCACTGCAAACTTTTTTGAAAGATTAGTGTATTTGAAAGACCCTAATAAACTAACATATTATTTTTGTTCTCTTGAACTTTTTTTTTGCTATTTTGTGTATTGAAATTGCCCCATTCTCAGACTGGTCATAAGGACTTGATGATTATTGCATAAATAGTTGCAACAACAAAGAAAACCAAACTACGAAACACGCAATGATTCAAACTCACCAAAACAAGTTGGATGAGTTGGTAATTGTCCGACTGCTGAAACACGAATATTTTCTGGGATAATACAGCGAAAGAATGATCCTGAAACTTCCCAATCCCCAAATGAATCAATACCTACATATTTCCATGGAACCAGGGCGAATGTTTTGAAATAGATACTAACCTAATCTGGCAAGTCTATTCACCCATCCAGGAATAGACTTTCCGGTCAAATGCATGCAAACTTCATCTGTGAAATGATTGCAGTTTTTGATGATCAAATTGTAGGTGTCACCATGATATTTCCCCGCAAGGTCTTCAATAAGTATGCGGAACTCTGAGCGAGACATATCAGTGGTACCCAGCCACACAGAACGTCTGAAGATAAAACCAGGACAGCTTTTCGGTTCCACCTCAAATACTCCGCTAGATGGGTAATCATGTGCTCCAAATCCATACTCCTGTCCATGAACTACATGCAAAAGTATAATGAGCAAGCTATGGAAACAAAGAGCAGGATTAAACCAACATGCTATGAGACAATATCAAGCAGGACTTACAGGAAGGTATAGGGCAAAAACTTGTTTATTAGAACTTTTACCATCAAGACAAATTTGGAACTATAGTATCCACCATACTGATTAATTAATACAAGGGTCAAATAGGTTAGTTCAAAATAATAGACATAATTCTATTAAATTACGAGTCCATACCTGACTAGATGCCATTATAAAACCAAAAGAGTACCATGTATATCATGAGGGATCAAGAAGAAACCGAGATAGGGAACAAATAGAGCATATTGGTACCAAGATGATTGCACTAAGATTGTATTCAACAAAGTAACAAAAGCACAAGGTTTGCTCGGAGTTCCAAACAAATGGCAGTAAAAACACCAGAAATAATTACGGTGGACTTGGAAAGAATTTGCAGCGATCGTTGAGCAAAAGAGCACTAACGAACCAACTTGATAGGCAGATCAGATGTCCAAGTCAACCAAGGCCCAACTTTTCAACGAGAACATAAATATCAATTCCTACAAATTGATAGATTTGATAATTTTTCTTAGGGACAGTAAACCAACTAAACAATTTCATGGTTCCTAATTACTTAGATAATAGTTAAGCTATGCATTTACTTTGTATCAAAAAAAGCTTTTGATCCAAAGCTTTGTGATGAATACTTATTAGGATCTCCCTAGAAAATTGTTGAAACTCAAGAATAAACAACTGTGTGATGAATGCTTCTTTCCTTTGACATTCATCTAATATCTTTGTTTGCTAAAACAGCATTAATTGAACATATTTTATAACCAGGAAGTACTTCTAGGTCAATTTAGCAGAGTCGCAAAGATTCACAGCGCGACAGGGAAGCAGGAAATATTTGTACAATTGGCGTTGCATGAATTAAACGATGAAAGAAATGAATCGAACCGAATTATATCCTAATTCCTAAACTCCGACGAGATCTTGCGGGGATGATGACGCACCTTCGATCCCAGAGTGGAAGACTCCGAGCCCAAACCAGTACAGGTATTTGTTTATGGGTGTGAGATCATAAACATTCAAGTAGAGACGCGTCCTCCCGCACCCGTCTCTGCCCCCGTTGCGCAGACCCTTCTCGGAAGGAGATCCTGACAGCATGTTTATCCGACTCGGCAAACCAACATTAGGAACCCTAATTCCACATCTCCGACGCCTCAATTCGACGTCCCGGTTCCCAGAACCACGAAATTAGAGAGAGAGAGAGGCTTCCGGGTTGGATTGGACAACAAGGAGGAGGAGAAGATGGGCGAGGAAAGGGGTCCGAACTGGGTTCCAACGTTCCCTGCCTTGATCCCCTGGCGCGATAATGGCAGGGAACAGCCTTTCGCCCCGTCTCATTGCAACAACTATGGTTCCACCGTGGCGATAGATGATCTAAATAAGCAGAACTCTGTTCCCTGCCACGGATGCGACAGGGGACACTTTCACTTCGTCCGGCCGCGCTCCCACGGAATCGGATTTCGGCGGATTAAAGGATTCGATGGCACCGCGATCAGAACGAGGGACGATGGATCATATTCTCCCACGTGGACCGTTCACGCTCCGGGACCCACTCGTAGAATCTAACTAAACCTACCGAGTACTCTTACGATCACCCTAAAACTCATCTAATCAATCAAGCCCAATTTGATACATCGGGCCGAGCCGAGCCGCATCAGCCCTGACCTCTCGACCTTGCAGGGCCTCCTGGCCGCCGGTTCGACCCGCCCCAGCCGCAGGCTCCGTGTCACACCGGACCGAACCGAGGGTCTGGTACGGATTGGCACCCGGGCCTAACCCAGGGCCGTGCAGGATGGATCGGACCGAGTCCACCCAGCGGTCTGGGACAGTCCCAATGCGACCAAACTCAAATCCTTTGTTTCAGTTCAATTTCATTTCGTTTTTTCCTCTTTGCAGAAAGCTTATAAATCGCAGACTAATAGTTTCAAACTTGAAATTTTTGTCAGAATAAAGATTTAAAACATGCAACTATTATAAATACAATATTAAATAATATAAACATATTTGTGAAGAATTAAATTCAAAGTATATTTTTCATGAATAAAAAATCCTGATAAATTCATATTTCGGAATTAAAAAATTATATAGATCATGATAATTCGAACATAACTTTATGAAATGATAATATGTCAAAAGAGGAGTAAGCCTCTCGATTCGATATTGGTTCATACGACTGAGATGGCGTTCGCTCATCCACGGTTCCCCTATAACTTGCTGGCCAAAGTCTAGCTGGGCTCAAGAGTTGTGGCAGAGGAGGAGCAACTGAAGAGAGAAGAGGAGGAAAATGGAAGTTGAGGTGGCCATGGCTTAGTGTTCTGTAGAAGAAACGAAGAGAGAGGAGAGAAGAAGAGTAAAAGATGGGTCGGTTTTTATAATATGTTGATTTGGAGTGTGTTTATCCTAAGATAAAAAATTATCAGAGTGCTTCACACGCACAAAGAAACACTTTACTCGTTGCTGTGTGGGATGACAGCAATGGTCAACTATTGCTAAATAACATTGTCAAAGTTAGCATATAATATATATAGTGACACTACAGATTCATGAATCTAATATATTTCATATTCTGTAGTTTTTGCTGCAAAAGTCACCTCCTTCTCAGGCTTTAAGAAAATAATAATAATATACAGTTGCGTTTTCTTGTTCACAGATTGAATCGAAAGCCTTGACATCCTCCTCCCCATCGCGTAATCTAGAAATAGAACAGTCAAAGCATCTGTGCCTTTTTGTTGTTCTCTTCGCCATTATGATTTCATGCCATACTTTGCTGCCATCAGCTAGCTTCCTTTATGAGGCAGTTGGGAGAGGATGAAGACAAGGGAAAGGAGACAGTGGGATATTGGATCTATGGGAACAAGTCAAATCCTACAGACTGTGGCTCCAATGCAACCACTTAATCTTCAGACTCTAGTGAAAGAATTCTAAAGGCTACTGCAGTAACTCTGAGGAGATATGTATATGTTTCCACGATGAAGAAAAGGGAACTCAGTGTTATCAACCCACTCTTTAGGTGGCATCATGACATGGTCAGTGCAGGAGCTAGGAGCAGGTAGAATATGAATGCATTGCTCTTGCAGCAAACAGATGAAGAGCTACTTGTTACTGTAGAAAAATCAAAGGGGTTCCTTCAAGAAAAGAATACAAGTTGCCATTTGAGCTATTTGCATCTGTTTATGAAGGAAACATGGTGTGTCTCACTCATACACATCCTTCAGACTTTCTTGTGAAGAATCCAGATATGAAACCAATGAGCTTGTGGATTCAACATGTGAATTCAATCCTAACATTTTGGTTGGATTGGAGTTGGATACAGAATTTAGATATCCTCATACTCAAATTTCGAATCAAAATTTGGACATCAAGCTCTCAATTCTCTCATTCACCAAGATAATAGCTGGTTTCAATCAACCAAAAGAAGGAAAAATGAAAAGCAAATTAGAAATAGAATACTACCACAAGCATGATTCCATTTGAGTGTCTTTTAAGATGAAACTGTGCATGGCGTATAGGAAAATGAATAATGGATTCGAATCTAACATTTTTCATGTATGCTCCAAGCTACAGTAGTAGATTATGTACACAAGAACAACAACACTATGTAACCTGCCGTGATACCTCGACAAGCATGCTTATGTTTACATCCTTGTCAGACCATGCTATGTATCGTTTTGTTCTCCTTTGATTACTCTTTCTTTGTACGTCTTCTTTCCCGCTCCCAAGCAACGTGAAGCATCGCAGCGTTTGACCGGTCAACTCTCAGATCACCAGGAGCTGCGCGAACCCCAGTGGTGGATGCGGAGATAGCGGCGACAGCGGCGGCACGTTGAACAGCCCCTCCGTGTCCGCCTCCTCGCCGTCCCACACGCTGCTCCAGCTCGACGGCGACAAGGGGACGCACCCTGGCTCCACAACCTCAGACTCCAGCGAGCTCTCCTTCTTGATCCCTCTCGCCGGTACCGCCGCCTCTCTCTTTCTCTTTCCGGCCTCAGGCGGCGCAGGAGGAGCGGTGGCCCAGCGGCCGGAGCACCCGACCTCGTTGGGGAAGTTGAGGATGGCCTTGCGGCCGCGAATCCGGTAGGCGGCGCGGTCGTACGCCCGGGCGGCGTCCACGGCGGTGTCGAAGGTCCCGAGCCAGACCCTGGACCCCCGACGGTTGGGATCGCGGATCTCCGCCGCGAACTTGCCCCACGGCCGCCGCCGGACCCCGCGGTACCGCCTCCCGTCGCCCCGGTTCGCCGTGGGCGGCACATCAGCCCAGTCGAGCGGGCGCGCAAGGGGGAGGGCGACGGTGAGGGAAGGTCGGGCGAAGGGGATCGGCGGGGGCAGGACGGATGACGGGGGAGTGGGCGGGAGGTCGGCGAGGAGGTGGTCGCGGATGAGGTCGATGGTGGGGTCCCTGCCGCGGCCATTCGACGTCGCCATGAGTCGGATAGAGGATGAGAAGACGAGCGAGAGGCTGGTGATGGCGGTGGAAGATAGGTGGGTGGAAGAGCAGTCGTCGTCGTTACTTATAGAGCGCCAAGACAAGGCCATGGTGCTTCCTCGAAGCCGCACGGCGGGAGTCCATCCGTGGATTCGGAGTGGCAGGGGTCGTTGCTCGGTCTCATACAATGTCGTGTCGACGCCGGGAAAGCGAAGTGCGAATCGAAAAGGTACGCTAAGGCGACGTCTGCGCGCCCATCGAACGCCCGCCGCCACGTCCTCCAGTCGCGGCCGAAGTCGTACCAAATTGATCAAAAAAGAAAATATAATTCCGATACGCAACTGAAAATTATTTATAAAATAGGGGAAATTAAATTAATTTGGCAGCAATTTATTATTATTCTAAGCAACTGAAAATTATTTATAAAATAGGGGAAATTAAATTAATTTGGCAGCAACTAATTGTTATTCTAAGCAACGCCACTATGTTTGCATGGGTTCTCCTCAATCATGCAACGTTTGAAGAGCATGCGTTCACATACACTTTCCATTTACTCCACCGACTGCACAATTGAAGTGTATGCGTTCACAACACGGTTGACTTTGTTGATCTTCACAACAATAAATGAGTGCCCACGAAATCTCACTGTTTCAACGTAGTCAATGGATTTGGTTCGGCGCATTCAATTTAACTGCATCGAGCTAAGAGAGCCGTCAAAGCTTTCGTCTCCTCCGCTTCATACCTGCGGCGACGTTTGACGGTGGCCGAGTCGAGAAACGATGAGGAGGGCTTGACTCGTCGCCGGGTCAGACTCATCATCTCTGCATCGCAACCACCGTGCGACTCGCCATCGTGTTTGCTAATCCTTCATCTTATTGCCTAAATGATCCCATAGTTCTATCATTTCCCCATTGTTCTCTCTTCCATCATCTTCCTTCCTTGTTTCATGTCCATGGTCCATAGTACCCACAGGGCTACTCACCTATGCAACTTGCAGACTGTCGACAAGAATACGATAGTTTGGCTCCTACTACCTCAGATTGAGATCTCCAATCCCCCATGCGAGAGAGTGTCCACCCAATTCGAGAGGAAAAAGCCATTTTGGATAAGACCAAGGTTGTAAATATCCACTTTCCTACTCTCTCTTCATCTTCATCATATTTTATGCCCATCATTTGTTACCAAAACGATTTAACGTAATATATGTTATTATCATGACAGCATATGCTTGAATTCACCATAAGAATTTATTGAACAACGTCTCTTGTTTCGCTCCGTAAAGCCATCTCCCGCTCCCGCCACATCCCAACACCAGAAGCGGAGGAAGTCTCGCCTGCAACCACGCGCGCCCAGATGTGTAGCCCCGAGTCCGAGCTCGCCCTCCTAGACTCCATCCGCCGCCATCTACCCGGCGACCCCGAACCTGGCCCCTACCACTCCTGCTACCCCACGCCGGCCTGCCACCGGAGCTGCAGCTTTGGACGCCTCGTCGCCGACCAGTGGTCCGACGGCCTCCCCTTCCGCCTCGACGACCCCGACGATATGGTCGTCTACGACGCCCTCGCCGACGCCTTCCGCCACGGATGGACGCCCTCTTCGGCCGTACCCGTCGCTGTTGGCGAGACCCTGGCGGTGAGTGCGGCGCCGGCTCCGGGGAGGCAGTACCGGGGGGTGCGGCGGCGGCCGTGGGGAAAGTTCGCGGCGGAGATACGGGACCCGGCCAGGAACGGGGCCAGGGTGTGGCTGGGGACGTTCGGCTCCGCGGAGGACGCGGCCCTCGCCTACGACCGCGCAGCCTTCAGGATGCGCGGCTCCCGCGCGCTGCTCAACTACCCACTGCGGATCGGGTCGGCGGAGGCCGCGCCGGACTCTATCACTCCTCCTCTCCTGATAACTCTCCCTCAGAAAAGGCCTCGTCCAAGAGGAGGAAGAAAGGGGCGGCGGCGGCCATCATAACGTCGCCTTCTCCAGCTTCGTCCCTCGGTTCGGTTCCGGTATCAGTTAAGACACGTCGGCCATCTCTTGGTGAGCTAAGAAGATGGCAATAGTGGAAGGATGTGTGGATGAAGCCTCATGGAAATGTGTTCTTTGCGAAGTAGAATAAACGCGAATGCCATGAGTCGATGGCTGTGTTTGATTTGCTGTTCATTGTTCTTTCTTTCTCTTTTTCCGTGCAAAAACATTATAGCAAATCAACCATCTTTGTTCATCGATTTTAGATTTTTAGTGTCATCATGTTTGATCTTAATACCAGTAAATAGCATTGTGATCTTATCTATGTTCCCTTTGTTCTGTTAAGTAACATCCAACAAGTGGAGGATATGCGATCCAAAGTTCAGAGAAGCCGGGGGACAAGAGCTCCCCTGGCCACTGATCAGATCCGCCCATGCAACAAATGGATTCCAGCATACCAAGACAAGAACCAGCATGTTGGATATGGTAAAGAGATGACGTGCCACCAGCTCTGGTCTGTGTGCTTTCCTCTCCTCTCTTCCCAAGTGAGTTAGTGAAAGGCTTCGATTTTGATACTGTGGCACATCAGCTGGCCCACAAACAACTCGAGATTGTTGTTGACCAAAGGATAGCAGCATAAACTTTGCTTTTGATGTCGCACAACTTCATCATCTAATCATGATTTTTCTAGCTCAGAAACAATTCAAAATTTTTGTGCTGATTTGGAGAAACATTATCTTAAGCCACTTGGATCTGAACACTGTGTAACCTTAGAACAGCTCCTAAGAGAGTAGCAGCATGTGCAGTATTTGGCCTACAAGAGGCAGTTAGATAGTAATCTTGTCAATACTGCTGCCTCAAGAACTGAGTAGAGCCCACACTGAGATATAGTCCTATAATCATCCTAAGTTACCAGATTTCAGATACTAATCTTGTCAACACTGCCTCAAGATCTGAGTAGAGCCCACCCTGAGATATAGTCCTATAATCATCCTAAGATACCAGATTTCTTTCTTATCCAGACCACATCTTATGGTAGGAACCTATAGCTTCTGCAGTAGCCATTCATGCTACTGTAGTACTTGGCAACTTGGATGTAACAGCTATCCCACCCTAGCAAAAGAACAATGCTTCAATGAGATTTCCATTCCATGGTCAGCACTGGAACAATGGGCAGAAGTAGCTTGGGTCAAAGAAGATGGACATGGTCCCAACTCTTGAACTGCAGGTTCCATGTTCATCTTCCCTTTCTGAGCATGGCCAGTTTAGGCAGACGAGGGAGAAGGGCAAGCATGCAGAAGTCTTGTGTGGGATTTTGTGACCTCAGACCTTGATACTAAGATCTTCTTTGAAGCCCCATGCAGAAGACTCGGAGTTTTCTTATGTTATGGCACAGGATATTGTGGAGGCGGAAGAAAGCAAATCAATCACTGTAACAGAAGGCTTGACTGCAGCAGAGCTCCGATGTCGCCGTCCTCGTCACGTCTTATCACACCGAATGGTGGAGACCATGTTGTCCATCATTCAAGTTGGGCCAGTTCGGATCCGGGTTACTCTTGCTCCGGATCCGATAAATATTGCGGCTGCCACCTTTATCCAAATCGAGCATGCAAATCTTACGTGGCAGCGAGGGAAGTGCGAGTCAACGTCCACGATCGAACAGCGTCAAAGAAAGATCAGCCTCCAAGTCCCGACTGCCACCATTATGTGCAAGCATGCATCGAGCACTGACACGGCACCTCTTTTGGTGGATCACTTCTCATGAGACTGCGACACCGGCAGCATGCGTCACCACCACCACCTCAAGATATGGATCACATCCATCCCCAATTGCCCCATCCCAGGGCTAGCTGAGGCAGGATGAATCCGGACACTGTGAGCGGAGAAGCATCAGGAAGAAACACGGGAAGAGCCAGATGAATGGCCTTCATCTCTAACCTGATAAGGTGGCGGTGGTGGAAGTTTGACGATGGAATACATCGACATGCAAAATATCCAAACGTTCGGTGTCATATGGATTCACACATCCACCTATAAATACCACACCATGGTACACACAGGAAGGAAGCAGGCAACTTCAGATGGCCATCCTCTTCCTCTTCTTCCTGCTTGCTTTCCCGTTCTCGGTTTCCTCCTTCCCGGGTAAGATGGAAGGTGCAGCCGACGCGGACACGCCCCCCGACGCCGGGGGTGGTGGTGGTGCCCATGGTGGCGGCAGCGGCTCCGGGCCCGGTGGCAGCTGGGACTACAGCTGGGCGTGGGGGTCCAGCCCCGGGAAGGGGTGGGGATATGGCTCCGGCCATAGCCAAACTCCGGGGGGGAACGGGGAGGGTTCCGGGTATGGATTCGGGTACGGGACTGGATCGGGATCAGGATCAGGATCGTCATCCGGCTACGGCTACGGCGCCGGCAGCAGCAGCAGCGGCAGCGGCAGCGGCAGCGAGGGCGAGCCGGAGAGAGGAGCGTACGGCTATGGCGCCGGCTCTGGAGGACAGGGTGGCGGCTATGGTGCAGGCGGTGGCGGTAGCGACGGCGGTTGGAGCTTCCGCGGCGGCCGGCCGCCGCAGTACTGGGATCACAACTGTTGTTAGGGACCTATGTCCTGAGAATGCAAGAACGTTTCCTTCTTCATCAGATGCTCTGATTGTTGTGTCATATATATATATATATATAATCTAGTTAAGAAAGAAGGACGATTGAGTTGGACAGCCCTGACAAGTGTTGACGAGCAGTGTATGTTCCGATGGAGATAGCAACATGCACTAACAATAAGCAAAGTGGGAGGAAAGAGGGTTGGTTAAATGAGAAGCATGTTGTTAGTAGAGGAGCAAGTCAACACCATCTCATTTGTTGTTGACTTGTGAGAGCCACTTAATTAATGATTGGTCCACAAACCCAGCAAAAAACCTGCTAATTAGAAACTATTCTAATTATTTAATGTATCTTAATAACTCAGATTACAAAAGCACAACCTCACAAAAGAAAATTCTTCAGGATAAATGTTAACAAGCTAGAAAGTATTGCATAATAGTTGGTATAATCTTACAGCAAATTATTTTGGGAGAGTACTGTTAGACTTGAAGTGATAGAATCCGTCTCATATCTCATTTTAAGCATTGGCACGGCTCAAAATTAATATATTCACATCCAAAGGGTGCAAGGCACATGTCTTGTATGAATGACAAAGATGTTGTAATTAAAGACTTTTCTTGTTTATAAGAATAGATATATCGAGTCATTCTAAGAACGAGGCAATTTTCTAATAAGCTAGCATTTAAGTATAAATAATGCACGAGTAGATGCATATGCATCTCTCTTCTCTCTCTCTCTCTATTTACATATGTAACTCTTCTAACGAACAATTAATTTGGGCTAATTATATATTATCTCATATAGTTATTTATCTTCGATATTTCCATCTCCAACTAATTTATAATTAAGTTAGACTTATTACATATTATCATGTAGTTAGTTACCTTTAGTATTTCGATCTCTGTATTTTAAATACTTATATTAACATCCCTATAATTATAAAATTTATTTATTTAGTTATTGATTTTATCAATAAAAATATATATAATAAATAATAAAAAATAATTTTAATGTTTCAGCAAACGATGACATCGTTGAGTCGCGAGGGACTATTGTGGATGAGAAGAGTGATGATGAGAAGAAAAGTCGTTGTACATCTGCGTCGATGCTGACGTAGTTATAGATCAGCATCGCTCGATATCTACAACGACGGCTCTTTCGCGACTTAGTAATAGTGTTGATGTTGATGCAAATGCAAAGTGACACCGCTCAACATCTGCATTGGTGGCCCTTTTATCGCTCAATAATTGAGTTGACGTTGATGCAAATGTCGAGCGATCCTTTCATTGCTTGCAACTACATATCGACACAAATGCAGAACAACCCTCAACTCTCGTTGTCACTCTCTTTATCCACGATAATCACTCGTGGTCATCGACGATGTCATCATCCACCACCAATGACATTATCAGCTGAAAAATTAACATTATTTTTTTACCTTTTGTTTTCGTGTTTCGGTTGATAAAACTGACGACGTTAGGATAAATGAACCTAAATATTTTACTTTCGTAACTATAGAAAGATGAATGTAACTTTTTAAAATTTAGACTTGATGTAGGAGTAAAATCTAAATATATAATGCTAAGCATGAATGAAGAACGAATATTATATAAATAATTTTGATTAATCATACATGATGCTATTATATGTAAATGAGAAAAAGGAAATATAGGAATATGATGATAAATAATTTGATTGAGATGATAAGTAATTCTAAAAATTTAAAATTGCCAGACTAATATACTGTGAAAGAACATAGAGAAACACACACTGAATCATCTCACCATCTCAGACCACAAGCTGAGATCCAACCCCAAGGCAATGGAGTACCCCACACACAAGCCAGATGAACCAAGTGTGGATCACAAACTTGAGTGCCATGTGGGGATAACATGTTTGGGAGAGAGCTCACATGGCCACCTGCTTTCCTTCATTGTTTAGCCAAGTGCCATGGTTCCAAATCCATGCCTTCTCCCCCACAAGCCCACGCACTTTTGGTGCAGCATTTGAGGGGCACACTTGCTCTCTTCACACACACACAAAAATTAGCAGGATGTCAACCTACAAATGGCTTCAGAGAATAGAATAGACCATAGCATATCCAAATCCCAATGTCTCACAGCTATCACCCTTGCTGTAGTGGTTGACACAATGTAACATGTACCTAGAGGCCATGGCTCCATCTACTTCAAATCATGCCAACCATGAACCTGTAGGTGACCATGCAACAGTAACTCAGATCTGAATTCAGCAGGTGATGAAGAAGATGTATTCATGCTCTGACAACAAGGAACCAAATTCTGTACACGCCATTGCCAAAGTGAAGAAGGATAGAGGACAAAGGTTATAGCCACAGATTGATTGAAACTACACTATGTGCCAAAGAATATTAGCTGAACGGCTCCTTGCTTCTGCTGGCGGCTGCTGGATCCATCCTCTGTCAAGCAGCAATGCAGGTTTGTGGAAGGAGGAGGGGGAGGAGGTGACTGCAGGTACAGTTCCCTCTGGAGAATTGAGCAGTAGGAGCTGAAGATGGCAGGAGTTACGTTCAACTCGAAGCCGATGCTGAACAAGAAGTCGATTTCTAGGTGGTTCATCTCCATCAAGCTAATCCCTCCGACCTTTGCAAAGTATGCATTGTTGTAGCATCTGCACACATATGCAGAGAAACAATCATTTGCAGCGAGCATGATAGAGAAGCCAAAGCAAGTGAAGGATGAACTGTTAGGTGCATGTCAATTGCCAACAAGAACTTAAAAAGAAGCTTCAACATAAGGATCAATGCAAGAACTTCTGGTTGGCTTGCAATGTAAGGTGTGATGTTTCACTTGAATTCCATTTCATGAACATGCCAATGGCCTTCATTTAGGTGGTCCTGATGAAAACTTCCTTTCTTCATGTAATATTCTGTGATGGCAACTGCTATTTGGCAGCTGCTACTGTAGAAGTTGGCAGATCCAAGCCATACCATCAGAGCTATCAAATCTAACAACAGACATGATCTTGACTGAAGACTGACCAAAGAAAGCAAAATTAGATCTACATAAGAATCAACCTGTCAGAAGAGAGGTGATCTATTACAAGAGGAGGAACTTGTGATGCTAGTCAATGGAATTAGAATCATGCAAGAATTCGGCAAGACATAGCAGCTTTGGAAGAATCTAATAGCTTCTGCAAGAAAGAGAAGGAGAAACTTCATCATCTCCCCAAATCACAGAGCAAGAACGCCCGCGAACAACACTAATTGGATCGCTTCAAGCATCAGTGAATCCATTCACCAAGCTCTTCATGCGAAACTAAGTACAGGAATCGGCTCAACGTAGGAGCACCACTTACATGTCGTCCATGAATTTGACGGCGGTGAGGACGCTGGTGATGAGGAAGCGGTGGACGTTGAGCGAGTCGAACGACGCGGCCGGGTGGCGCCGCGCGAAGCGGTCGAGGTAGATGTAGGCGACGACGTAGCACGCGGGGCTGCAGCCGGCGTACCGGAAGATGCGCTCCAGGTAGCCGCGCACCGATATGGCCGGCCTGGCCAGCCCGCGGAAGGCCGACGCGAGGTGGCGAGGCGACACGGGGCGGCCGGCTGCGTCGTTGCGCTCCGCCACCCGCGCGAGGATGGCGGACAGCACGGAGACCACTCCGGGGACTGCATGGGCCTCCTCCACCAGCTCCGCCATTGGAGCCTCTCTTGGGACAGACAAGTCCATGTCCTTATATATATATATATATGGAGAGAGAGAGAGAGAGAGAGAGAGAGAGATGAGATAGTTTTGACTCACCAAGAGATCCAAATCCATGTGAAGGTGTTTGGTTTGGCAGATAGATTCTTGGAAGACAGAACATGACAGGATTACTACGAGGAATTACTACAAGATTTGCTGTAATCTAACTATTGAGTTCAACTAAATTCTGTGACAGGCTCAACTTCACCACTGAATCAGTACAAGGAGAGAGACAGGTGGTTTACATTTGGAATCATTTCTTTCCTTTCACCAACCAACAAAAGATTGAAAAGGAGCCCCAGATCATATCATATCATATCTTAAGCCCTTGTCTTCAGTAGGGAGCAGAGTCTGTGATCTCAGGGTTGGGCTGCATGAGAAAGGCAAATGATGGAAGAGTTGAAGGGCAAGACAGTACAGCACAAGTCTGGTAGGATGTAACTCTTACTTGTTGATTTGAATTGCTTAACCAAAGCCAACAGCAGCAGACTTGCTTCGGAATGGATCATGAACTCATGCTTGCAAGATAGATTATGATGACAAGGTGGCAAAGAAGCATGGCACAGTACATAAAGCTTGCAAGGATGAGTTGTCCTTGTCCTTTGCTGTCGAAGTGGGTAGATGAGCTCATAAAACCCCCAAGATTAGAAGAAGAGATGGCACAAACATGAATCCCACCATGTGGTGAATGTCTCTGTTTTCTTTCTTTCCTTCTCCCTTGTGATGAATGCCCTTTTTTATGATTCAGAAATCTGTTTCTGCAAATTGAATGGCCTCATTTAAAGGTTGAAATCTCCTCCAATATGTTTGATGATTGAATTAATGACATAGGTTTGAGGTCTATTCTTTTCGAAGAGAGCTGAGATGTTGAAGGTCTCTCCTGTAATGAGAGCTCAAGATTGGCCAACAGTGAATCAGACACCTTTATATCTGCCTCAAAGATTCTTCAACCTTCACCTGCATCCTACTTAATCTTGATTGTTCACAAGGTCGAACAGTTCTCTCTCTAAGTTCAAATTCAAAGTTCCACTTGCTTGATGCCATGTTGTCACACCCAATACCACCAAAATCACAGCCATGCAACAAGTTGCTTTTGCCAATCGAAACAGTTTTGTCTTTATGAGGAGTCCATTGTGGTACATCAGCCAAATGAAATCCTAATCCTTCCAATATACCAATTAACTCTAATACCAGTGTCAGATGAGAAATCTGCCTTCACTCCAGTGTGTTCATCTTATGAGCTGCTACTGTCATCGGACAATGAGTCGAGTCAAACCTTGCAGAGTCTGCCAAAGATTCAAAGACAACAGCTGGAGTTTGATATCTTGGTGAATCGATTTGAAATTTGGACACAAGCATTGCCATGCGACTCAAATCTTCTGGACTTGTCACTCTTCACGGTGAATTTTGTCAGGCTGCATCCATCATCAAATTACTTCATGATCTCAGGTGAACAGTGGACACTACCAAAACAAGCAGCCTCTTCCTCTTGGCTTTTACTTGTACTGCTTGGAACAGAGCAGGTCCTAATGCCATTCTGGTGCCCAATAATACATGGCTAGCAATCCATTTTCTGCACTCTACATGGCATGTCAGTTAATAAGATCGTATGAAATGAGACATTTGAACCACTCCGGGACAAGAAAGCAGCCAGCATCTTTAGCTCGTGCCACGGTGAAGGTGTGGACCAGGGAATGCCAGCAGCAGTGCAGGAATTCCCATCAATGTTGTGGACACACAAGCTGCTGATTTCCATCTCTGGATAGGTTGAGGTGGTCATCGGTGTATCCATGTCTTGCGAAGTAAGTCCATCTCAAGCTGGCATTCTCTTGGATGCTTCACGCTCTTGTCCTGAATGTGGAGTTGTGGGTTTGGTCAGACCAATGCAAAATCCAGTCCACCTGCAGCTGTTTGCCTGGAAGGCATTGTTGAGAAACCAGAGTGAGTGGCTTGTGGTTTTCTTTCTTAGGTGAGGTTTTGTACCGATGAAGGTATTGTTAGGTGAGCTAAGCAACTCACGATTAAGATGTTCTTTTATGCCGATGCAAACTAAGGCTGAAACTTTGCACATCAATTGCTTGAAGCAGATCATAGTGGATTTCTACACTGAACTGCAAGAAGTGCAATGATAAGATCATCTGCTAAAGCATATATCTTTCTTGCCTGCTGATGAGAACACTTAAGACATCATAGGTCAAATATCGTCAGATTTCATTGATTCCTACAAAACAAAACAGAGGGCAAGTTTTGGTACAACAGTAAGATTAGATTGTTTTTCGAGAGAGTTCAAAAATTCAAAAACAGTTATGAACATAAAGGTATACATTTTGAAGTATATTTCATCTATCAAACAAAAATATTTATTTTCTTTTCAGAAATCTAAAACACCAAGGTGGACAGAAAGAAACAAAAAAAAAGAAAGAGAGAGAGAGAGAGAGAGAGAGAGAGAGAGAGAGAGAGAGAGAAAAGGTATTGAATTAGATGCCACAAGTGACAAAATACAAAATGGGGCTTGTCTCAGACAAGGTCCTGAACACACATGGCTTGTCTCAGATACCCAACAAGCTCCAGATGACTCTAATTATCAGCAGGATATCTTATAGACAACTCAGAGGCAAAAAAAGGAGGACCAGAATCACATCCATAAGAAAAAGTGTAGGAGCTCTCGATCAACCTTGGCACCTACAGACTTGTTCAAGTCTGTAATATCTTTTTATGTTCAAGTCATAAAAGGAGCACAAAGCATAACATGGTCCTAGTGACATCAACATGGCCTCTGTAGGCACTCGAGCGGCTCTGCCATGATGTTGGATCCAAACACACGTTGTCCGTCATAAGTGTAGGACAAGTGAGAGAGACAGGTCCATGGAACATTCAGATTTCAGACAAGAGCAAGGAACATCATGTGAGCCAGCACCTATTGCCCTTTTGCGTGGTCATCTTTCCCAACCGAGAATACCATGGCATCATCATGTGCCACTCAACAAGATGTCCTTGATAACCTCAAGCGCAACACATCATTTACTCCAAGATGTTATTACATCCAGGATGATGATCTCATCTTAGATGATGTTGAGGTCTCAAATCACTTGAAAGAGAATTTGTATGTTGAGGTCCAATAATACAAAAAATTAAGAAAACCATTTCTTGAAGTTAATTTAATGTAAGAATGTAATGTACACTCTCCAACATTTAGGATGACCCCATGTGTCATAATAAGCACCAAAAACATGGTCAGTAGTCAGAAGAGTAATCTATCAACATAGAACTTATATGTACAGATTAGAGGGATCAATCTATACAACAAAGATTATCACCTAAGGATTGTGATTTTATAACCTATTGGAACTCACAATCTCTGCAACTATAGACTTGGATGGAAAGATTTCTTTAGCTCCTCCAAGCATGGAAGATCATTCTTGGAGATGCACACAATGCCATCCTGCTCATTCACCTTTTCTATCAGAAGCTTTAGCAATGGAACTCTGGATAGGGTTTCACAAGATCCAACCATAATCAGCTTTTTCTGCACCCACAAAAGCATGAGACATCATTAATCTTGTTGCTAGAATGCTAGATAAGCAAAAGAAATAGAACTGAGCATTCATATTCTTTGCTTGTGCATGTCAACATATATATTTCTACCAGCATGAATCTATACTATACAACAAAATATTATGATTCTCTACTTTAGTCTGGATTTATCACCATCAAGATTTTTGAGCCAAGAAAATCTTTGACATGAAAAAAATAAATAGAACTTGAATATCTAGCAAGCAACAAAAAAATATCGATTTCACCGGTCATAACAATACCAACACTGAAGATTGATGAAGTTAGCTGATTTTGGGCTACCTTTGCACGTGTGATAGCAACATTGATTCGGTGCCAATCTCCAAGCAAAGAAGAATTGCAGGATCTAAAGTTTTTTGAAGACCGTACGAATGATACCATTATGCAATCCTTGTCCCTTCCCTGCAGCTCAATACAATGCTGGTATAAGTTCTTGAAAAAAGCCAGACATACTTCAGCAAAAACAATCATATAAGATCTCTAAATTAACAAGAAAACTAATTGTCCATCTTGTTAGTAAAACATTAGTTAATTTCCTTACAGACTGATGGGGATATCTAGTGTTACCTGATATTTGTCAATCGTCTGAACCTCTACAGAAGCACCAATGACTTGTCGTATGATATTGGCCTGTGAGTTGTATGGGGTAATGATCCCAATGCCATCTCCAGCAATGCCTCTCATGATTAATTCTTTGGTGATCTATTGGAGAAAATGAAATAGTGAATGAATTCCAAATGGAAATTCATGTAGATGCAAAAATACATATATTACTTGAATGTCATGTTCCTCCACTTTACGCAATAAATATCAAGAATGAGAATAGATAAAACATGCATGGCAGCAGCAACGTTGCTAAGATACAGGTTTCATTTTTAATTGTCTGAAAGGGAGAGAGCTATGGTGGATATTCATACCTCTGAAATGATATATGCTTCTGAATAGCTGGCCAGAGCTTTATGATCTTGTTCCTCAGTAGCAGCCAAATTATCTGAAGGAGCAGATATAAAATCAATTTTTTAATGACAAATATATGACATATCAAAAGTTTCATAAAAATATTATCACTGACCTGTACTTACAAAGATGACTGGTCTGTTTGGATTCAGAATCTGCCAAAAAAGAAAAACCAACTATGAGAATTGCATCTCCTAGGCTAGAATCACTAGCATGCTTATAAAATTCCACCATTGAATGTTATGCAGACTCAGCACTAGTAGTTTGGATGTGGAAAAAAAGGACAACAGGTCTCCATGCCACTTAAGACATAAGTTACCAGGGCTGTTTGTTTGCCTAAGCCCTATAGAGTAAAACCCTTTGAATTTGCTTATAAGACACATGAATAGTCTCCAGAATGCATCTTGTCCACTCTTTGAATTTGCAGCATCAACAGATCCTCATTTTACAAGACAACTATCAATGAACATTTTAGTGCAATGCATCTTACCTCTTGTTGCCACAATATGGTAGATTTAGAACAAGAAAACTCGAGCTTCGCATCTGCTATTTCAGAGGAACCACAGCGTAATCTGTTCCCATATATCAATGCATTTGACAATTCCATAATACCAGCACACATGCGGTACTGAAAGCAAAAAAAGAAAAGAAAGGTCATATACTATTGTGGAATGTAATGAAAAGAAAAGCAACCATGTCTGTACAGTGTCTATAACAGGCAGGACCTGGCATTGCAAGGCTGATATTGCTTGAGGATGTGCTTCTGATAGCCTACAAAACAAGCTAATGCACATTCCATTTTCCCTTGCCTCTGTGCTCTACATGACAAAAAAGTTAACTTGTTCATTCAACCTATAGCAAAAAAGTTGGTGTGACACTGCTAAGGTTGATACATACCTGAACAAGAGGTGGAAGCTGATAATGATCCCCAACAAGAACAAATTTTGAGGCAAGCATCAATGGTCCCAGTGAAACCTGAATACAAGAATTGTTATAAGAAATAACATAATTCATGGAGAAAGGAGCAGGGTTACTTAAGGCACCATTCAAACAATCATATTCCCATTGACCAAATAAGTAGTAGCACATATTGTGGGATTTTCCAAGGATGTATTACTTGATCAATCACTTCAACAACAACCCTATGCATTTATAAATAAATGTACATTCAGCTTGATTCCTCGATGATTCAGCTCTCACTTTCCTCGGGGGAAGAAAAAGTCCCATTCCAAGCAACATAATTAGAAGTTCCCAACCAAAATGACCCCCTCCCTTTCCTTTCTTTTGCTTACTCTTTTCCACTCTGTTTTCCTTTCAGTATACTATGGCCTACCAATCCACACCTTCATACAATAGCAGTATATAATCCTTAAAAGCACATACTGATTAAATTTATAACCAACTTTCGATATAGTGGCTAACATTATATAACCAAACATGATGGAAGAGTGAAAAGTACACACAGGCAATGTGGTTTGACCAGCCTCATCCATTATGCAGATATCGAACTTCTTATTCACAAGAAGTGGATGATTGATTCCCAAGCAAGTAACCCCAACAACCCGAACATGTTCCATCTTTGCTTTAATCTCATCCACAGTGTGTATGTCCTCTGTTGCCATAGGACAAAAGCTTACATAAGAATACAGATAAGAACAATGTTGAGGACTTAATAGCAAAAGAATGAACAGGTAAAAAAGTTCCCACCTGTAAAACAATGCTCAAGAACATCAGTGTGCACTGCTTCACGTCTTCCGACACGTACAAAATCTATACCCTGCATAAGTGAAACACTTCAACAAACTGAATATCATTTGGATTTACAAGTCGCAACATCAATTTAGATGAAAACTATTAGGTGCTTCTTCTTACAGAGGATTGAGTATGAATACAACTTCCATTGATCCAGCAAAAAAACATTTATAAGTGCACATAGAAATTTGGACTGGATATAGAAGGTCAGGATGGATACCTTACAAATTTTAATTCAAAAATGTTAAATTCTTGCTCTACTTCGAAGATAAAGAACTTAGTTCATACAACTTGACTGACTAAAAATGTCTTTTTCTAACAAAATTTATGTCATATAAAATTGCACAACATGCTTGACGGTGAACGTGCAAGCCAACTTATAGAACTTCGAGGACAAAGGTGCACTTGGTAAAACTTCAAATGAAGTTCTGCGCTTATGACCAACCATCATGATACGACTTTTGACTCCCATCTTACAACTATTGTCTCAGGAATAGAACGTATAGAGTTGTTTAAATTTTAACATCTCACCCCAGCTCATGATTATAAAGGAATTTTTTAAAAAAATTGTTTTGTACAGTAATGCAATGCTTTTCAGCACCAAAATTGTAGTAATCAATGCACAAAAAAAGGAACAATCTACCTTGCATGTACATGGCAGTAAAAATTAATCATAGGGCAACTGTCATTTTATGGCCTTTGCAAGTTCTCTCTCTCTCTCTCTCTCTCTCTCTCTCTCTCTCTATATATATATATATATATATATATATATATATATATATATATCCCTTTATCAAGACAATAAATGAACAGAACTTATACATAACACATTATGTAGGATAATGTGGCTGAGAGATCACCTGAGATTTCAATTTGATAAGCAAAGTATCAATTGCGGAATTAGTATATGATGTAAGTAAAATGGAAGCTCCTCTTATTAGTAACGCTTTCACAGCATGCACCATCGTGGATGTCTTTCCCGTTCCAGGCATTCCTAAAATAAGAGTGTAATCCTTTGTAGCTAGAATCTGAAGAGCACAATGCAACAAGCTAGTACAGGTACCAAGGTATCATAGTTTTCAGATATAAGGTAGCAAAATTGGGCATTGGTCATGGCTAATAGATCAAAATTTTGTAGGTACCTTTTGAATGGATCTCCGCTGGTCATCATTCAAATTCTTTTCTGAACGTATATATGACACTGCAGGATCTTGACTTAATATTCCTTCACTATCAAACCTAGGTGTCTGTAGAGATTGAAATAAGTAGAAGAAATATTATCGTGTCCAACAAAACAATGCACGGCTGGACGAACCTGGCAATAGAATTTTGATTACCTCAAGGTCAACAACCATCTTCCTCAGGTGTCCACATTGTGAGCTTTGAGCAAACAATTGTATCAGATTGAACCTGAACATGGACAAAAGAAATAGAGTCTTTGAATTTAGATAATTCTTTTATTAGAAAGGTGATTATCATATGGACTACCTCATGATTGCAAAAGAGGAAGCAAATTCATCTTTGTCAATTCTCCAAACTTCTTGAATAAGACGCTCCATTTCTAATGAACGATCAATTCCTGGAAGCCTTAGACGCCGAGAAAAAGACACCTGCCAGCATGCACATCCACATAAAGTTGGTTACTGAAGAGCATTGTCCATATGGAAAAAAGATTTACGACTTGTTACCAAGTATATTATGAGGAGGTTTACAAAATAACAAAATTCAGATATCCCAGGAAAAGAAAAGGTGTTTTTACCGATACACGAGACTGACTAATATCATTTATAACTCCACTTGCAACTGCAATACGCCCAGCCTCCGTGCTAAGCACCTAAAACTCATATACAAGAAATGTAAAGAAATCTAGAAGTTGACCAGATATGTGGAGTTGTATTTTAGGATACACGTGCTGAACAATTAAAGGATCATATAAGCAAACAGATGTGAGCTCAATGTTTAATTAATCTTCAGTTCAAGAAAACATAAAAAAATAATTGCAGTGACAATTTAACAAAGTCAAGAATTTGAGACATGGTTCAGAAGGAAGCTTTGACAATTGTCAACTGTGTAACATCTTGGCAACACCATGTTGACGAGGATCCATGCCATATCAATAGTAAGCCGAAAACACCTTTTCTAAGCAACATGGCTTGTTGACATTTTCAAGTTTAAAACATATAATAATGTAAATACAATCAGGGGCCAGTAGATACAGAAGCGTTTGGCAGGGCCATGTTACAAGTCAAGTCATAATAAGGGTCAAGACATAAGATTAGTTTTGTTTTGTCAGCAAGCCACATATCCACCTTCATGTAGGAAAACTTTGTCATGTAATTGTTGATTTTACAGTTAGCCTGGTATGTAAACAGGACTTCTTAACTATCAGCAATTACTAAACCAAAATAATTTATGGATATACATGAAAAGTGAAATAGAAAAACAAAATACATTAGCTGTACCACATAATCACCGCATCTAAATGTGCAATCAAGGTTGTTCATTCTGGATTCAGAGGAAAAATTTTGCTCCTGACCAATCTGTCCATGTCGCACAAAATGATATATGTGTCTGCCATTATGAACAGATTCATGGCCTGAAAAATCACTTTTTAAATTGACAAGGGTGTATGAAACACTTCCAGTACTGTTGTCTCCTCTTCGAGTATGTGGGCGTAGAATTGCTTTCTTATTGGCCTGAAATTTTAGACACTTTCAGAGCTCAGTCCACCATGCAATAATGCAGTAACCTTTGTGTTTGAGGAAAAGATAAAATGGTTCAACCTGTGATGCTTGAGCCTCCAAGTCAACCAAACGAACCCAATGCTTGAGAAACTTACAATGAGCAATGGTTAAGTGACCCACAAGGCTGTTGAACAAATCACCAAGTCCACTGCTATCAGAATTGCCTCCATAAGCCTATTCCATCAACAAAAATCATCATGATGGCATCCTAAATAGTATAATAAGTGCCTGGATATAAAGATAACCAGATACTAAATAGACCAACATTCTGGAAGTTATCGTCCTTAGCAATTTCGTACAACAATGGAGAATATAGATTGGTTTCAAATTGAATCAAGGAAACAAACTTAACAAAAAGTCAATCATGATAACAGACATGGATGACATGAATAAAGCAAGAAAATCTAACTATGCAATGTATAGTTACAAGTTACAGCATGCGAATATCAAAAACAAATAGCCTATTCAGCATTAAAGAACCATGTGACGTGGCCCAGTTTCACAACATATCTAAAAATACTTGGTGAATTGCCTATGTTTTAGATTCACATAGGTAAATGTATAAACTACACCATCTAAAAGAAAATTGCAGCCTAAGATAGTAAGATTAAAGATACTCTTTCTTTTGATTATGCCTTAAGTGATTATTATTATATAAATTCTCAAAATATGTAAACAAAAGAAACTAGTGTAAACTACATTCATGTGAAACTGATCGACAAGAATCAATCAATCAAGTCTGAAGTTTCATCAGCAAGTGAACCTCTTCCTGCTAACATTACTTCTATATGTTGTAGATGTACTGGTCACTGATAGCACACACAACAGGAAATAAACAAAGCACATAAATAGTAATAAATATATCAAATGAGTGTGAAATGTAAGAAAAATTGCATATGAGCAGGTGGCACAAATACATGATATAGGTGATCAGAGTTTGAGTGTCATGCTCTAGGATTGCCGGTTTTAGTAGGCGGCTCAAATATAGTGTGCTAATTCACATATTCTATGCCTTTAAAAAAGATACAAAATGTCTAAGACTCACCAAATATGTGTAAAGTAATAAATCATAAATAATTAACAAAATCTAGAAAACATGTTAATATAAACATATTTTTTGTTTTTTAGGACCTATTCCAACATAATCTAAAACATATAGTAATTCTAAGGCACTATACACTATATAGTACTAACATTAAGTTAGATAAAAATATACTGTCAGAGTGTGGATGGCACAGTGACAAGGTTGACAGAGGTACGTCTTTGTACATTGACTCCCCAAACACTGGGTTCACCCTTTAAGGAATATCATATCAATTATCATATGGGAATCAGAAGATGAGGTTGAACATAAACAGTGAATGAAAAACAAACAAGAGAGCACATAATATAGAAGAAGAATACATTTTAATTTAGTAGTCACTGAAGGAAGTGGAGGCTAATATGCAGGGAAAAGAGATAAAAGAAGTAGTAGACACATAAAACAAAGATTATTAATGCCATACGGAACATGGAAGTTTAGTCTAGAGACTCTAGACATAATAAAAGTCAAGATCAAGGAATATTTTACTACATTTTGATATGAGATTCCTTTGAGAAGAAGGATCTTTATGGTTTATGGGTAGTGATCAATATTATAATTGCTTCAGAAAATAAAGGTTGAAAGTATAGCACCTCTGCAGAGCAAGAATATTAAAAATCTACTTGATTTACCTTATGATAGACCATGCAGATGTTGAGGTGGCGACAAGCTTTGCACATTGTTAAGTTCTGCAAAATCATTACATTGAAACCTAAATGAAAATCCTCTAAACCAGTCAATCAGTACACAAGTTTCTCTTAGCCATGCCTGTAGCATTGGTGGTAGGTACTGTGTTCTTAATGCCTTCAAGATCTCAGTTGCAAGCTCATTTCGGCGCATAATTAGCCCAATTAAGTCAGAACGTTGAACTTTAACACCCTGGAAGAAGAAACTTAAGATAACACTTGAGACATTTGGAAACTATACAGATATAGTTCCTTGTTACCTGTGTCTGATCTGTCTGAAGGTAATACAAAAGACCAGAGTTGATATCATTTTTCATATATCTGAAAGAGGAGAGTTCCCACTTGAAATGTCAATCCTGTCTAGCCCAGCGAAGAAAACGTCATATGGAAAAAGAAATAGCAGTCAAAATATATCAAGTTGAAATTACCTGTCAGACATCAGAAGAGTGTACAATATAACCTGAGCACAATGTTCCATAGCAATCTGCACAGTCAAGAGTAAGGTTTTAAATAATGGTCTAATATAATACCTATTTCAATAAGCTATAGGACCAATATGGTACCATTATACAGGTCAATATGCCAACATGTACTGTCTGGAATCACTGAATACAATAATAAAAAATGAAAAAAGGTATATGTAATGATATTAAGCTATATGTTTTGATATCAATACTTGGTCAGATCAGCAAATAGCAGTTGATAGATACTGATCCAACCAGTATTTAGAATCCCAATCAAGAGAAAATTAAATAACTTCTGAGATGTGACCATACCTGACCATTATTTCCTTTTCCGGTCTTGAATTCTAAAGGCATTATTGTCTCATGTGACCCATTGCTGCTTGAAGTAATCTTTACACGGACAGAAGCATCAATCATTCCTTTCAGGCCATATCTTGGGGCCCATGCCATCTCTTCAATATCAATAACCTGAATTTTCCAGTGCACGTCATAGATATTGACTGGGAATCATATAGATTTTTACAATGCACTATCCTAAAGTTGATTAACATGCCTACACCCCAACCTGTGCTCCCTGGGGGTGGATAATGACATACCTCAACCCATAGCCCTAAACCCTAAACCCTATCATATGTGACCTTCATCTAGGGCTAAAAACTTAACATTCTTCTAAACGCATATGCAGTTTTTATTTTGCCATATTAGTTCAAAAGAAAATGATAGTTATCTATAAGATTGTACTTAAACCTGTTGTTATTACCCATAAAAATAAAGCCAACAAAAAGTTATTGAAGGTTAACAACACTATATTCTAAAATAGAGTAAACCATTTTGTGAAAATTTATGACTTATTGCGTCCAATACTTGTAATCAAATTTCGAGCCATGTGAATGAAAACCACATATAGGAAACCATCATGTCAAAGTCACAAGGATATGCCCACACCTAAAATTTATGCCTCACCTCGCTTATGCTGACATCCTTCATACCATCAGAATGTCCAAAATCAACAGACATGCTTTTACCTTCCTGACAAAATGCTAAGAAAATATTAGCAAATGTCAAAAAATTAACAATTATGTTATGCAAGCATACTTTTGTTTGGATCAGAAAAGCATAAGAGCAACAAGTCATTCCTATACTAACAAGAAAAACTGTAAACAGATACTTATATCCAATGTAATTTTGGAAATTGTCATGACTAACCTTATAACATAACTTCACTTTGGCATGTTTATGTAGTAAACAATGAGCATTATCATTTTCTGGCTCATTTTCAATTTGCACTGCCCAGGCCAAAGACTTCAATTTTCTAATTTAGGCCGATATATTTTGAGCAAGTTTTAGTCAAATCTACACAATTTAATTTTATTTCACAGACATGCTAATTAACCTCAAAGACTAATAAATATATTATAGTTAAAATAAACACAAGGAGAAAAAAAACTAAAACAATCCAATAAAGGACCCTAAGAACAAAAGCAAGAGAGAAAAGGACACTGACAGCTCAGAACACATGTGCAGTTTTCTACACAATGGATCAAAATAAATTACTTGTAAAATTAGAAAAATTGCAACTAGGCTAATCACCTGGCACCTTTCAAGTCCCAACCTAATCAATCCATCACCTTTGTTAAGTCATAGGTCCTAGTCCAACTGCTATAGAAGAGACTTTTTACGAGGCAAAACAGATGACCTAGTACTAATAGTCACTCCATGAGAACATCAATCAAAAAGGTTCTTATATGACAAACCAACAAAAGCGCCATGCCAGAAAAAAGAATGATGCAAAATCATGTAGGTCAAGATAATAAGTTGTGAAAAGAAAAGGCTTCCATTCCCTCAGTACCTCTTTCACCTTAAAGCATGTCAGCCAATTTAATATCCTTGGAATTGCCTCAATAAGCTTTAAAAAAATATCTTTCTCATTGGCTGCATAGAAAAACATTGTGCATGCACTGTTACCACAGGCGAAGACCTAAATAATGCACAAATCTGGATACTATAACATGCAATTTTTTTTATGCAGTTCAACAAGGATTCCTACCTCCACATGCATATATATTCTCGATATTTTTCTGAAGAACCATTCCTGCATACTCTTCCAAGAACTGCCTTGAAGGAAACTCCTTCAGAAGTCCAGCCTACAGTAGAAGAAAACTATTAATAGCACTTAGACTCATAACCTACTGATACCAAAACTAAAGGAAAGCAATGTGGCCTAAGGAACAGAAGTCGATTCCTTGAATCATGAACCTGAAATATTTGATGGAGCAAGGTACCAAGTAATGCAGCAGAAAAATGCTCAGAACTCTTCAGTCTCTCATCAAGTACTGCTCGTCGGGAACAAGTAAAACTAGAGGCAACCTGAACAAAATATGAAGACATTAAATGAGGCAGGATGAAAAAAATGCAACAAAAACTATGAATGTTAAGAAATCCAATATTTTTAATAAAAACAGCAGCATATGAAAAATGCTAAAATTGTATCAAAATCTATAGTCAATGTAATGGAATAGCATAAACCACAAAACAAAATAATTACCCGAGTTCCAGATAAGAGTATGTCTGGATAAACGATGATGAGATTTTCAGCATGATCAACAATGCATCTTCCCATCTCATCAAAATCACCAACTACACTTATAGTATCTCCAGGTCCAATCAGGCTATAGAACCTAAAATAAAAGAAAAAAACAGCCCAGCTCCAGCTGACACTTTGGTAGGGTAATTGTGAATAAAGGAAAGACACAAAAGCTGCAATTAGGAATCACAAAACTTAAACATCCTAATGAAGAAAACAATAGTAAACTTCAAGTTCATGCAGAACTGTAGCACATCAACAAGTAAAAATAATGAAATGGTTAATCTTCATCCCAATTTACCAGTGAATTAAGAAAATACTGATTAGATAAAATACGGGTCTGTTTTCATGAAATGCCTTTGCAGCACTGTACATCACATTTCAAACTCTTCAATACAGGGGCCATGTTGGCCGGCAAAAACAATAATGCAGATATATCATGGCATATCATGGACCACACAAGTCAGAATATGTTGATACAGTAGGCTCGTGTTAAGTCTCTGGAACTACTAACATCACCCCTAAACTCCTTCAAATATTGATGCAAATTGAGACAGGAAAGAATTCCTCATGCAGACTGATCATCCTTTGTGTGAACTACCCATAATTACGAACCAATTGGAAGAAACAACTAGATGACCTTAAGATATCTGAGCTAAAGGAAAACTGACCACTCATCACAGAGATGCAAGATCCGCTCTTGGCCGCTTTGTTCATTAAGCAATCGAAGAACCTGCAATCAAGAAACAAAGGTTTCACTTGCATGTGGCCTGAAAATTCCATGAATGTTGAATAAACTTGCTTTTACAAAATTAAGTGCACCTTTAGAGGAGTTTGGACGCACAAGGAATCAACGCTCTTATGCTTTTCTGATACCTTTAATTGTAAGAGACAAGGGAGTAAATACAACTAAATGGTTACCAGCCTTCTAGTATGAAAAGTGTCGAAAGAAAGAAAGAAGAATACTTCTAGTACAAGAAAGGTATCATAAGGCGAAGAGTTAGAATCTATTTCAGATGGATTGGCCTCAAAGCTTCTCTTTGAAGGGTCAGATTCGAGTTGAATATTGACAGCTGTAGCATTCTGACCCTCAAAACGCCTGGGATCGCCAGGGACTGGTTCGTCAGTAATTGCATCTTCGACTTGATCTAAAAGATCAAGCAATGCCTAAAAGTGAAGATGAGTATGAGTCATTAGCTATTACAGTTTGCACTCCTTTGATATCAACAGGAAAAGGAACTGCGAAGATTCTATGATCAATACTTCAATTCAAACCTTTCGGTAGACCTGTGAACCCAACTGCTCGGTTTCTTCGTTGCAACCAACACCACCAATCAACTGCTGCTCATGAATATAATCAAACAAATACATAAATGGATAATCATTTCCCATTAAAATTGAACAAAGAAGGTCAGTCCAAAGTCCAGGTGATTCAGATGATTACCTCCTTGGAGCCATAAGGCATGGATGGTGGAGTCCGAAATGAGCTCTTGAAATCCACTGCAGTAGCGTTCTTTGGATCATCATTGCTCTCGTGGCTACCATAGTCCTCTGACTCTTCAAACAAGACCTCCCTCGAAAAACTCAAGGACTTAACAGATGCCACTGTGGCAGAAGAAGAAAGCCACTTCTCAAGTTTGCTGTTAGAACAAGAAGGATCCTACATCCAGAACACGTTCTATGAGTTAAAACACAGAAAAGAGACGTTAACAAAACATATGCATGTAGACCCTCGCGGTAGCACCTGTTTAAGAGAGCAAGGACGCAAAGTGGACTCTTGTGGCCTCGGTGCCTCACGAGATATCCTCATCATCCTGGGCAACTGCTTCGAGGAGATCGACTGCAGCCGTTCATTGACAGGCGAGATCTTCCAAGTAACCGCGTCTCCCCCATCATCTTGGCTCTGGCATATCAACTAACCAAGAAAACAACGGACGAAGGAGCACGAAATCAAGAAAAGCGGCGATCTTGAATCGGTTTCAAAGAAGACTCTCAAGAAGCTCACCGTTCCAGGGGAGAATCTAACGCGCTTGTTGGTGACCGATTTGGAGACCTCCGGCGAGATCTGCCACGACGAACTCTGCCCGCCTTCGGAGGGGGCATCCGGCCGCGGCGGCTTATCGGCGGCCTCGGCCCCTGGCTGAGGAAGGTTAAGGTTCCGATCGGGGATGGGGTCTGGGGGGTTCGAGGAGGAGGAGGTAGCGGCGGCCTGGGACTGCGAGTGGCGCTCGAAGAAGTGTTGGATCCCGAACTTCGACGGCTGCGAGGGCTGCTGGCTCTGATTGGTTCTTCTGGAGGAGGAGGAGGAGGACGCCGATGATGAGGAGGAGGCGGATGCTCTCTTCTTCGGCGCCATGCGAGGGGGTGCGGAATGACGGTTGGGGTCTGTGGGGAGAGAAGGCGGCGGGGAAACGAGGATGAAGTGAAAGGGCGGGCGCGGAAGGAGAGGGGGGAGGGGCGGTGGGGAGGGTTTTCCCGCCCAAACAGCGTCTCATTCGCCCATTCGGGGCGGGATCGAAAATATTTGGGCTGACCACCATATTGGGCCGCATGAGAGAATATTTCGGGCCTCGATCCGTGATGTGTCGATACGTGAATAGCAAGTATCGGTCAGATTCACTAATGCGCTTACAGTTAAACAACATTCCGATATTGTTTATTACTATAGTTGATTACTTAGCCAAACAAGCAATCAAACCATTCAATTCTTAGGAACAGTGACACTAATCATCAATTTTGGGTCACCCTCCACATCGGAGGCCATCATCACCACCACCAGGCTACTGTGACCACAGGATACGATCTGGTACGACACGTGTACGGGGGTGTTTCCCGGAGTGAAGGCCACTTCCTCCATGCCGAGCTGGCCCCACCAAACCACGTCCAACACCTGGTTCGGCGAAGCCAAGCCCGTGGCACCGTGCGACTCCACCTTCAGGTCGCCGGTGTGGTCGCTGATCATGAGCGAGAACTCCGGCACTGCCTCCGCCCCGAGCCTCCGCGTAGCCTCCCGAAGACAAGCCGCCGCGAGCTCGCCGTAGGATCGTGCGTCGGGCGGCGGGTCGGCCTTGAACAGCATGGTGGTGGAGGTGGCGGAGGAAGATGTAAACGGGACCGACTTGACACGGCGCGGCCGGTCGGGTCTTCGGAAGCAGCTCAGGTGGAACATGGGGGGCTTGGTGAGCCGCCCCTGGGCTAGCAGTTCCGTGTGGGTTTGAGACCATGACCTGAGGAAGCGTGACAGGAACAAGGGGTCGGCCAAGAGCAGGCTGCAGCTTATCCCGATGGCGTACCCGTTTCCTTGGAACTGAGTCACCTGCAACCACGAGATGGTGTTGTCAACGATCACCAACGTAAACCTCAAGCAGTCAGATAGCAGAAGAGACCTGGATGTAGAACAGTGCAGAGAAGTTGGGGTCGCCTTCGTTGATGTCTTCCCAGTAAGCCAACTGCGCCTCCTTCCCGTCCCTGTCCTCGGAGGCCAAGAACTCCGACATGGTCGTCTCGGCGGTGGCCTGCACCAGTCGGACGCCGGAGTCGTTGAACTTGACCTCCCAAGACCCGCCGCCGTTTCGAAGGCGACCGGAGAGGACAGGGTGGCGGGGCAGCGCGGCGCTAAGCGACTCCTTGATCCAAGCCGCCACCGCCAGCGGCGACTCCACCTCCTCCTCCCTGGCTTTGCCGTAATACAGCACCACCTGGAACCGGCGCTGCAGCACCTCGAGGCCGAGCGGCGTGGCCGTGACGATGCGCCGGGCTTGCCCCGGGGAAGCTACCTTCCCCGGCGTCGCCGTTTGGATCGCGTCGACGTGCAGAATCATCTTCGGAGAGATGGACTGGAAGTAGCACACAAGCTCAGGCTTAATAGCCGAAGAAGTGATCAAACGCTGACTCGAACAAAAGTAGTTGGATTCAGCATAGTTATACGATGTGACACGTAAAGATTTGTGAGCCAGACACGAATGAGAAGCGATTAAATGAATGTAATTTAGTATCAATTGGTTGACAAATGACAGCTCTAAGACACATCATATCTTAGACGTGTTGATCGGACAGAATATTCCCGATATGTAATATAAAGATGGGAGGTTTTTCTAAAAAAATTAATATATTGAATATTGGGGAGATTTTTCTAAAAAATATTTACATCTTGAAGATTTCTCAATCGATATCTTTCATTTTATTTTTTCAAACAATAATTTAATTTTTTTTAAATATTTAAATTATCTTTTTTTTTTTACTTATTATAATATTTTGATCTATTATAATATTTTTGGCCTAATTAAATATTTTAAACTTCATAACAAAAATATTATAAAACCTATTTGAAAATACTATAAATAATCTAAATATACTCAAAACATTAACCGAATTAACTATAAATCTAAGAATATAATAGTATAATAATCTATAAGCAGTGACAACCAAAAAGGTATGATATGATATCACTTATAATTTTTTAATACATTTATAATATTTTTAATGTATCAATAAAATACTATAAATGTTTTTTAAAAACCATAAATAAACCAAATGAAACAATTAAAAAAGGGAAAAAAATGGCAAGAAAACTTTTGAGGCGTTTTTTAGGTATTTTTTTAAATCATGGATATTATTTGGGAAAAAAAATAAAAGAGGCACTTTTGAAAAATACTCAAAATATAAATATTTTTCATATATATATTTATATATATTTGATAAAATCGAGTACTAAATAAGAACGCGGAGTGAGTTGTAGCAACAAAGAAAGAACCAACAGGACCACCATAATTAATGAATTGTATCTGCCCGCTACATAAGTGTTGACTGCAGAAATAATGATATTTATCTGTCAACCACTACAATTAGTGATGACTGTAGAATATTGACGTGTCATTAATTATGGTCAGAAGTAGCTTTGTGTCTACAATTCCACCTTCTAAAAGTTCGTCAAATGGTTTTGATGGATCCCAAAAGATTGAGTTATCACCATCAAATAATGAGTAAAAGATCAAAAAATACATATCACTCCTGGCGAGCACTGTAACGCACATTGAAACCAGAAGCTCAATCATTTCACCAAACATGTTGCAACAAGATGACACAGGTAAGTCCTCCGGGGGGGCACGATGCTCGCCGAAGGCAACATGTTGATGAGCAGCAGAGAGCGGGCATTCCAAAAGCTATAGGCTCATCCACTTGGCCACAACTTTGTTAGCATGACCCTGAGATACTATCAGACCTTTGACTTAGCTCCGCAAACAAGCTTTTCTTGTGCGTAGTACAGCAATCACACACCACACGAATCATCATCATGCAATATTCCCACAAGTTCATGTTCTCTATACATACTATGATGTGGTAAGATAACAGAGAGAATGATCTAATACTATTGGCTATATCAACAGTTAATAGTAGCAGCTGGGACTAATAATAATTAGACATTCAGCTGTTCGGTTTCAACTGGAAGAATTACTACATATAACAATAAAGATAAACCATAGACACTGCACATGAATTGTCTTGCCCAGAATTAGCAGCTGTTCATACTGCACATGGACTGTCTCATTCAGAAGATTGGATGCAGATGGGAAGAGGAAGAGGAAGAGGACAATGACGACTGAAGCCAGATCAGGACAATTATTTAGATGTGTCTTTTAACGCAACCATGGACCTAAGTATACCAGGACTTATCCTGTCAGCAAGAGCTCCTCTTTCTGAAATCAAGAAGGATTTCTCCTTCACATAGCTCTGCAGTTTCTTCGAGTCATAGTCCAGTCGTTCTTGATCTACACAAGCAGCAAAACAAGATTGTATTAATTAGGATGTGTCATTGGAAGTTGACTAACAGATTATACTTATCTGTCTCGTAGCATTGACTAAGAGGTACAACTGTAAGTGTACCTTACAATTCAGCTGAAGTGAAGCAAGCTCACACAGTCAGGCATATTTTAAGAACTACGTAGACCATGAAATGGGTAATCTTTCTAATGACAGTTAAAGCATCAAGAGAAGTCCACTTCACGCTAAGTAATCAGTTTGTGTTTTTCACAGAAGTTCCTAATAATCACCAAAAGAACATCCACCGCATAGCTGACACATAATTGGCCACAACTTTGTTAGCATGACTTCATCTAAGCTATTAAATCATGTGATGGATTGATAAAGAAAATAAAAACAATAATTTCATATACATTTTTGTTTACCATGCTTCCCAAGTTTATGTCCCCATTCCCCCAGTTGAAGAGATGACCAGTGTCACAGTGACATTTAAACTTCCACAGCATAATGAAGCTGCATTGTGAAACAAGAAATTGCAGGCTAAGCCATAACCTTGAAATTCTTGTCGACAACCCTTGACCCATCATATACATAATATTATTAATTAATTATTATCTCCTGTTCTACCCTTGCAACATGAGCCACCACTCTTTCCACATTCAGAAAATATTTCTAGATGAACTTGGGAAGCATGGTAAAAATGTAGTATCTTTTATATGTTTGAAATCCATGATTACATTATCAAACTGATACTTGTGCTTCTTTAAACAGATCATACTAATTACTACAAATAATTTGGCATCACCATCAGGGGTAAACTTTGAAGCTATTGGTAGAATGACACCCAACCACCCAAAGTTTCAATAACTTATTTTATTAGTTTTAAGTGACTGAGTATTATACTAGTGATTAAATTGGGTTTGTTGATAAGATCAATTGTATTAATGCCTCATAATAAAAATAAATAAATATGAAAAATCAATGTGGTTGGTCATCAACAGGAAATGCCAATTTGCGAGAGTAACTGAATGAGACTATAAATGTATTTCATCTCATTTAGTGCATCCTTAAACATTTTTTTAAAGAAAATTTCAACCAAGCCAAGCTCAACTCAACTATTGGGAAATGTTTATGACTTACTCAAGTTACATTGTATTCTAGTTGAGTGGCATAAACACAATTTGCATTCTCCTTTGTATTTGATGTTCAATCCCATGAAAGAAGTTTGGTCTTCACTCAAAAAGTTTGTGTCACTCGTGACAATTTTTAGAGGTTTGGTCTTCACTCGAAGAGTTTGTGTGGAAACTAGAACATGAGCCCTTAATTGTAGGAAAAATTGAACAATAAACATAGCAATTTTTTGCATTCTTTTCCTCTTTTGACTTTATCATATTTTTTCTGACTTATAGCTTAATATTGTGCACATAATTTGATTTTTAATAGATCAACAGATTGTTTATCTCCTGCAATGTTCTCGTATTTTGCATAAGATATTTCACTGCACATATCCTTTCCCCCCAGCTGGTGCCTCTCTCTCTCTCTCTCTCTCTCTCTCTCTCTCTCTCTCTCTATCATATGTTTCCAGGTGATCTAACAGACTCTTTAGAGGCTTAAGGATCACAGTAATATGAGCAAAGTACTTGTTAAGTTGATCCCACTGAGGTTCTCGCCTACCCTTGACAAAGAAAAAGTCACACTTGCCTTTATAGAAAGTTCATTTTTCAAGATTAAAGAGTTGAAATTCTCATTATTGTTACGTATCTTATTAAAGGTGCACCGACATTCAGCTTTCACATCTAATTTTCCTGTTAGTACAATTATTTTGACTGATAATGAATGACCTTAGCTTATCACCTACACAAAAGTCATCAGCTACAACTTTAGTGGGAATGGGCCCCATAATTTTCACTAACTTGATCTAAATATTCGATGAAGATTCTCAGAATGAACTTAAGATCCTTACCATGTCTTCAGAAGAACTCTAGGTACGTTTAAACTTCAACGATATATTTTTCATCTAGTGAGGTAGCCTGCTAAATATCTAATTCATTATGACTCATAAAATCATGAAGTGAACACTCTTTGTAGTTGCTTGTAGTAGGGAATACCTTTTTCTAAAGTAGTGTGAACCGCATGAAATGGCATGCGAGCAAAAATATCAGATCCTGGAAACATCATCCATGTATGCTCCTTTGAGTCATGATCTCCACATGTTGGACATATCTCCTTCACCAATTCTTTTGTGCCCTCTACTTCTCGCATGACAGCCTCAAAGGGTGATGGAAGACTACTCTTTGTTGTTCGAGCTCTCCTGCGAAGAGCTGTCAGAGCTTCCCTATTACCATTCCTAAGCCTATCATTTTCCACAAGCTGTCAAAATAGAAAACTATTAAATTATATGTATTTTGACTATTCGATCAATCAATATGAAAGGAATAGAAAATTTCTTCACCTGATGTCTTGCTAAAAGAAGATGCTCAGCCTCCATTTCAACCTCAATCAAAGCTTGCTGGAATTCCTTCATGCTAGGGTCCATTGTAGCTCTCTAAAATGTCTTTTGAAGTTACCTAAAATGTTCTGGTCAACTAAAAATCACTTTTTTCTTTGTGTTCTCTCTATAGTTTATAGAGATATGAAAGATGTTTTATAATATCATGCAGTAATTGCTGTGCAAGCAACCAGTGTTATCAAAGGCGCTAGGCGCTAAGAGGCACCAACAGTGCAATGCTATAAAAATATAATTAACGAGAAATACAATTAAGAACATTAGACAATATATAAGCTTCATACAAAGAAATCAAATTACATTTATTTAACCATCAACAAGGCATCAATTGACTACATTGTTCACATCTAACAACAGGAATAACAAAGCAAAAGAATATTAACATCAAGAATCCAAGAATAATTAACAAAAGTTAACTATAATTAACAATAAGTAACATTTCTATTAAAGTTAGGAGGAAGTCGAATGAGGGATGTCGCGGAGAGAAAGAAGACAGGGGCAGAACGAGAGGTGGTCCGTTGGGGAGGCTCGACAGGGGTTGACGGCTCTGTCGGGAAGATGCAGAGAGCGGCGCCCGACGGAGGGGAGTCGCCAAGGAGGCCCCGCAGGGGCCGGTGGAGGAGAAAGGGGGAGAGTGACAGCAAGAGGGAACGAGAGCGAGGGAGGGGGGAGAAGCATGGACGAGGAGGAGGGCTGTTGGGAAGGTTCGACTGGGGTGGCAGAGGAGGAGAAAGAGGGAATGGGGGGAGAAGCACAAAAGAGGAGGGAGGGGGAGGGGGGTTGTCGGTGAGACTCGAGGGCCGGGTGGGAGAAGATGGGGACAGCGACGGAGGAGGAGAAAGAGGGAGAGCGACAGTGAGAGGGAGGCATAGGGAGGAAGGCGCACCACCGGGGTGGAGAGAGACGCACCGCCAACCGTCTTTGCACGCGGAGGAGGATCGCCGGTCGACGCACGGAGTAGGGTGTTAGGGGTCGGAGAAATTCGATCGTGCGAGAAGGACAATCGCGAGAGGGGGATGATGGGACAGCTATTACTTAATGAATTGGTTCAACTGAACCAATTCATCAACTATAATTAGGCTTGACCGAACTAATTCTCTTGATCTCGTCTCCATTTAAGCTCAATCTGGGTTCAATTTGATTTCGATTGGGAGTGGGCTGGGCTAGCGGGCGCCTAAGCTGGGCCAGGCGAGCGCCGCCACTTCAAGCACTATGTTGTGGTGGTGAGAGGCAATGCTGCTCTCGTCATTTCCACTGTCGAGTGAGTACAAACTATGTGCATAAACTTCAAGTTACATATTTAGTTTATAGTTTATGGAGATTGTCTAAATTTCAAGTTATCATGCGCATATTAAGTTCCATATTGATTGGCCTGCATCACCAACCATACCCAACAAAACAGAAAACCATACTTAAGCCCCGAAGGGGGCGGTGGACGGTTGTGATTTTCGCTATCAAGCAACCTTCTCCCACATGAGAAGCCGAGCAGAAGACGGAGTCAGGGACGTCCGATGAAGCATCGACGGTGATTAAGAGCGATGACGCGCACCATCAAACGGGTGGGAGGGCGCGTGTGCCGGTGCGTACAGTTTGCGGTGGCGGAAGGTGGGCCGGCGGAAGGGGGGCGCAGGGTGGGCCCGCTGCTGCTTCGGCGGATTGCGGCCGTCGGATCGACCAAGCGGCGTCGATTAACTAAAATCGACCGGACCTAATTTCCCACAGCACGAAAACAAGCAAACACCGCTTTTACCCATTTCCGACCAAAGGTAGAACTTCTGATTGGCATCTCTAAGGGACCCAGCGATGGGTCCCACACTTCTCTTTTCGGGAGGCGGCTAGGACACGAAGGAGAGGGAGGGAAGTATCCTGTTCCTCTTTGGCTCTTCGGCACCCCTTGCCCCCGCCAGTCTCTCTCTCTCTCTCTCTCTCTCTCTTCTCTTCTCTTCCTCAGTGAAGAGAGAGAAGTAAGGCAGCGGTGAGGTGGAGAAACCCTGAGATTGAGTTCAAGGAACCCGTCCTTGAAGCTTCCGTTTGGCTAGCTCCGAGTCATCTTGATGGTTTGCTGACATTCTGATTCTGTCGTGGTCAGTGACGCAGATTGCAGGAACTTTCCCCCTTTTCTGGAGCTACGATTTCTACTCCTTGGAGTGTTTTTTTTTTTAATCTAAAGATGGAAATGTGCGTGTGAATATTTCTTTTCGTATGATTTTTCATTTGGGATATTCTCTTTCTATTTTGACCTTCAATTTGCCTTTTGAATGGAAGATGGGAAGCTGCAGACTCGGAAGGTTTCGTAGATCGCGGTCGTGTTGGTTGGGATGAACTATTCCGTACATTTTCTTTTCTCTGACCAATAATTGATCTTTTGCACAAAGTAAAATCATGATGTGCAGAAATGGTTCAGACCTTGTCTGTACTGCTTTGACTTGGAGATGGAAAATAACAGCTCTGATTGTTCTAATCAGTGCTTTTCTTGGGGGTTTAGGTCCCTGGAAAGAAGAGAAAGGAGAGTTTGCTGTCCAGTTTCAGTTTTGTAACGATCGCCTTTGTGACTGTCGAGGCAAAAAGGACATATGCACCGCCGAGTCTTCGTCGGAGACTGGTAGGAGGTACTCTTGATTCATAGTCTGGGAGAAAATGAGATCGCAGTGAATCTGCGATTGTTTTTTATACAGGTAGAAAAAGTCCCAAACTTTGGGGTTATAGGGACCATTTACTTGGTCTGGAGATAGGTGGTGTGACATTAGGAGCTCACTTGGGATGGATGAAATTTCTGAGTTGGAAATGTCGCCGCCGGAGCTCTCTTCTGCTGACAAGCAACTGGGTTTGCGCACAAGCAGCTTGAGAAATGGTCTATCCACTCAAAATTTGGATGCTCCTTTAATTGAATCACTGAAAGAGGGAGATAGGTTCGGAGAGCAGAATGAATTAGCACCTGAGGTTGATAGCTTCATGAGTGTGGGCTCCTTCAAAGAAGGCGGAAGAAGTTCTTTTCATGGTGCAAGTCATCCCCCGGAGCCCTTAGATAGTGATATCGTGAAGAAGGTTTATGTGGTGTTAGATCAAGTCAAGTCTGATAGAGGGTGCTTAATGAGAGGCCTCTCTGTAAAAGGTCCTCTTGTAGAAGGACTTTCTATTCAGGTCCCTGCGAATGCAGCTCGTCTATCACGAAATCAAAGCTTCCCTGATGATCCAAATGAGCCAGGTGCTGTATCTTCTCCATTTTCTGCTTCACTTGCATCACGGTCGACAGAGAAAACATTCTTACCACCAGGCTCTGAGGAAAAGGAGTGCGTTTGGGATGCTTCCCTCCCCCCAAGCGGCAATGTCAGTCCTCACAGTAGCATTGACAGCACTGGCATGGTAACTGCAATGAGCATAGTGAACAGCTGCACTACTAGTGATGGTATGCTTAGCATGGAAAGGGCTTCTGAGAGTGCAAAGGGAAGTGTGATGATGGACTCCCTTGAAAGTACTAAATCTAGCGACAGTGGAGTAAGTGATATCAGTGGTCTTAGTGATGATAGCATCTGGAGTAACCTTCCTGGAAGTGCTAACAAGCCTCACAAGGGAAATGACCCTAGATGGAAGGCTATTCTTGCGGTCCGGACTCGGGATGGTAATCTGGGTATGAGCCACTTTCGACTGCTCAAGCTGCTTGGATGTGGTGATATCGGTAGCGTTTATCTGTCAGAATTATGTGGCACGAGGTGCTATTTTGCTATGAAGGTGATGGACAAGGCTTCTCTTGCAAGCAGGAAGAAGGTGACAAGGGCTAAAACAGAAAGGGAGATTCTCCAGCTTCTGGATCACCCGTTCTTACCAACTCTGTATACGCATTTTGAGACTGATAGGTTTTCATGCTTGGTGATGGAATTCTGCCCTGGTGGTGCTTTGCATACATTGAGGCAACGACAGCCAGGAAAGCACTTTTCTGAGTGTGCAGCAAGGTAAAAGTTAAAACATGAGATGTTTTCTTGTTGCTTTGGGTGTTCTATATTCCATTACTAGTTCTTTTTGGTATGTTGCATGACATAGTTTCTGCCCTTGCGATAAACATGGTTTGGCCAGTTATTTGTTATTTATGCTGTTGCAGCACAACAATGACATTGGGTACCGGCTACAATAGTTTCAACTGCTTTTTTGTCAAATTGACATATCTCTTATGCATACTTGTCACCATTCACATCTTCCTGCAGCCTGACATTCTGATTCAACCTTGCTGCTTCTTGAGATCTTGCATATAAAAGTATTTGCTGTGACGATTGCTTTGCATATTGCTTATTTGTCACGTTTGTATTCATTGAGAAGCTACAGCTACTAATTTTCATTAATGATGAATTTTATAGAAAGCACAATCTAATGGTTTTCTGGACATGGTTTTCCTCAATACCTGTCTATGATAGAAGTAATCTCAGAGGTCACCACTCTTTAATGAGCTTTTTCAGAAGTGCTCATTGCAAGTTACGAAGTATAATCGTTGACATACTGATGAAATTCCACAAATAAAATAGCTATTATTGTGCGATTATGAGATTCTTAAGAACACATCTTTACCTAATGGATAACTTCTGCAAGGAAGTTGCTTCACAATATTTTTGGTCTGCACAAGGACATCTAATAATGGGGATGGTTTGTGTTATATTATCTTTTGTTGAATGTTAGCAGTTTTTGATACCCTATGACAGTAGGATATGGCATTTCTATTTGCTTCATAATTTTTCATGTTTCATGAGCCATCTTCTTCTGCTTTTGTATGGTTGGTGATGCAGACCAATCAATAGAAGATGGACTGTGATATTCATGAACAAGCTTGTCATATAAAGTGTTGCAGTTCAGACTGTTTTGCACTCGGGGGAAGGTGGCCTGTTGAATTATTCTAAGAGCAAATAAATATCGTCTGAAAGATGAAAAGAAGATAGTCAAACATAGTACCCTGAATAATTTCCGCAGGTGAAACAGAGGGTAAATGGCAACATAAAAATCGGATACTGTGGAATGAAGCATAGGAGAGAAGAAAAGCATTACAGAAACTACAGAGATTTTTTTGGCTCTAAGTAACACATTGTAGGGATAGCAATCAACATCTAAGAATAGTGGTAAAGAAAAAAAAAGGTAAAAAGAGATGAAGAGGAAGAGGCACATGCCAGGGCACTTGCTTCTAGAAAAGATAAGAATACCCAACTGCACAACACCAGAGCTGAACATTATTTTTTTTTCCTAGAACATAACTAGGGTGCTTCTCGATTTTACACCATGGCTACACACAGGAAGATAACCAGACTTATCAACTACTCATGACTGTTTTTGTCCCATACTCATGCATATAGAATCAACTATATAAAAAAAGACAATTTGTGTTTACTGTAACACACTGTAGCTTCATCTGTAATGATTTTGAATTTTCTATTGAAAACAGATTCTTTTTTTCGGTCAAAAAGGTCATCTAGAATCCTTTTCTTAAATCTTTTTAATTTGTCAGCACGTTTCATGTTCACCAAATCATTACACAAATGCACTAAAATAAATCTTAGATCCTTGGGTTTCAATCTAAGTTCTATAGTTCTGTTTCATCACACATGGAAATAGAACTCTTATTGACAAGCCAAGAAGCTGTGCCACTATAATTATTTCTAATCCTATTAATGCTTCGATCATATGAATAGTATGTTTAGATTCATATAGCATGTATTGATATATTGGATCTTCTCATACAGTCTTTGGATCTTAAGTTGTTTTCTTTTATAAATGAACAGATTTTATGCTGCAGAAGTACTACTCGCCCTTGAATATCTGCACATGCTAGGAGTCATATACAGAGATCTGAAACCAGAAAATGTGCTTGTTCGTGACGATGGACACATTATGCTTTCTGATTTTGATCTCTCTTTAAGGTGTGCTGTTTCGCCAACTCTCATGAAAATGTCATCACTCGACTCAGATCCTTTTAAACGAGAGACTGGTGCATTTTGTGTTAAGCCAACCTGCATTGAGCCTTCGTCAGTTTGCGTTCAGCCTGCTTGTTTCATTCCAAGACTCTTCCCTTGGAGAAATAAGAAAAGGGAAAGGAAACCATGGGCTGAGATACCAAGACAACAGGCAGCCACCCTGCCTGAGCTTGTCGTTGAGCCAACAACTGCTCGATCGATGTCCTTTGTTGGCACCCATGAGTATTTAGCCCCAGAAATTATCAAAGGTGAGGGCCATGGAAGTGCTGTAGACTGGTGGACCTTTGGCATATTCCTGCACGAGCTTCTTTATGGCCGGACGCCTTTCAAGGGCTCAGGCAACCGGGCGACATTGTTCAATGTGATAGGCCAGCAGCTTAGATTCCCGGAAACTCCATCAACCAGTAACGCAAGCCAAGATTTGATAAGAGGGCTCCTGGCTAAGGATCCTCAGCATCGTCTGGGCATGAAACGGGGAGCCACCGAGATAAAGCAGCATCCCTTCTTTGAAGGCGTGAACTGGGCACTTATTCGATGCAGTATGCCGCCTGAGGTGCCACGGCCGGTCGAGGTGGTCGAGCTGCCACCAAAATTTGGAGTCGCAGAAGGATTCAAAGCTAGTAGCAAAAGGATTGTAGGGGCAGATGTGAAGTGTGGAGGCAAGTATGTAGACTTTGAGTTCTTTTAGACGGTAGCTCATCGTTTGATGTTTGCATCGCGTGGCATATTTTTGAACCCATCGAATGTTGACGTGATCATAATGATATATTCAATTAGCAAAAGCTTCTCATGTGGCTGCTGATCAAGATTTTAAATAGAGAGGAGCATTCTCCATAGTTTATTATGAATCATTTCAAAATTATTTTTTGATTACTGTTCAACTATTCAAAGATATAAAATTTCTCATGTTCATACAGAGGGAAATAGATGGATTAGCAATGCATGCTAAAGCTTCAACTCTACTGAGTTATGTAGGAATCAAGATTATATTTATTTAGTACTCCAATAGGCATGATTTGATTTGTCATACTTTGTTTAAGTAATATAGTTTTTTCTTTATGGACCAGAAGAACTGTTTTGTGACCAAAGTTGTGTTTGTTTCTTTTTTATCAGTTCATTCTACCTTGCACCTTAAAATTTAGGTTTATTCAAATATAGATTAGCTTGTTGGATTTGGGTTCAAATAAATTGTAATATATCGACACTCCATTTTATCATAGGCGATGTGATAGTGGGATGGATCTTTTTTTTGGATATTGTATCACCGATATCTATTCAATTAGCATACAGAGGAAGTATATATAGCGAGTCTGCAAATGGGAAATAGATTCGCAAAAGGGGAAAAGAGGATGATCATCTACATTGTAATTTCATCCAAGTATGCTATTTTGCTTTTAGAATTATCTTTCCAATGTTTTCCGTTGGAGTAGCCGTAAGAATAACTAACGACAAATAGTCTCACTGCATTGGGTCTCGGATGTGAATCCTCTACTGGATCGCCTTCCATAACGTGCGGATCTGTACCGACCGGAATCTAATCCGATTTTGAGTCAAAGTGTTGGGCGTGGATTCTCATTTTGGAAAGATTTGCCCGTCGGATTCTGATATGGATTCTGGTTCGGATCCAATAAAAGCGTTCCACTACCCAACAGCAGTCGCGACGGCTGAGCCAGAGCGCACGACAGCCGACGAAGATTCCACCATCAAGATATAGTAGTATTATTGTAAATTTTCTCATCGGCATTTTAGCATACACTAATACTGCAGCTTGATCTTGCGCGTGTAGTCTTGTCATCCGCTCAAATCTCACCCATTTTGCTGGTATTGGAGTCGGCAGCAAATCCTTCTTCAAATCATGCAGAACTCTCTCTCGATCTCGTTTCACGCCCCTCACACTCTCCTCCTCCTCGTTTTGCTTCCATGGGGTACTACGTCATGTGACGCTCGCTACGATGTCCCTCGGCAACTAATCGTTTGCTTTTTGGCGTCGCAGTGCGCGGGGCGGTCGGACAGGAAGGCTTCTGCTCCGTCCCTCCTTCCGTCGTCGCCGAGTCGAGCTCGAAGCCTCTGTACTGGAAAGTCACAAACCCCACCCTCTCTCCGGCCAACCTCCAAGGTATTACCTAAAATTAAGGAAGATCGTTGTTTTTGATAGATATCGTCGATTCTGATGGAAAAGAAAGACGATTGTTCTTGCTGTTCCGAGGTGGAGTACTATTTCCTTTGATTCACCATTGTTTCATAGGTTTAGGGCTTCTTGATAAGTTAGATTCTTGATTCACAATTGCTTCATTGATGTTTTGGCTCTTCTTGCTAGAAACTGATGATTTATTTAAAAAAATTCTTGGTATTTCAAGGTAGATTTTTTTTTTAATGGTGGATGAAAAGGTTGGGTGAATGTAGGTCAGGGCTTCTTGATGAGTTCTGTGACGATGGTTAATAGTACCAATTATTGAAAATATTTGGCTCACTTCTTGTGAAGGACACACCTTACTGTAGCATGCATGGGCTATGCTCTGTGACTAGGATATGTTCCATCCTGCTTTTTCCTTTATATGATGTTGCACGGCATGGATATCCATTTACTAGATTCCTTTTTTCCAATTGAATCCTTGAACATTTGGAATCACTTTGCATGAATAGTTTGCTACTTCTGCGTATCTGTCCTATTCTATTATAAGATAATGCATATAACGAGCAATGATCATCTACAGTCTAGATTCATATTGGATTTCGTGCTGAAAAGGGGAATAGAGATGCTAATAGATCTGAAGTTATAGCTTCTAAGAGCTAAGTTACATGATACTAAGAACAAATAAACATATAGACGTTGTGTAAGATGCCAAGACGCTTGCTTTTACATGGTCAGCTGTATGTCTGACTGGCATTTTATTGTAGACTTGTCATCTAGGCGTAGAAGTCAGTGGTGAACTGCTGACCTGACTATAAATTTCTTCAGGTATTTGGAATAGTTATAATGGCATAAATCTTTCATAATAAGCTGCTGCAAGAAAGATAAAAGAAGTGACAGAATTGACAAGATTTCACTAGTGTGGGTTTGGGTCTAAGACTCTGTGGAGTGTTAACATATGCATCTTTATCCTTACAACCGAGGAGTTTATTTGTGAAACTCTAATACTGATCACTTATATCACAACCTTACTATGATGCGATAAGGCCCTTTTGACAAAGGTAGCATTATGCTATAGTACTACAAGTAATAAAAAGGGTCCCAAATAGCTTTTGTGAATTGGGACAAGTTATGGAAAGTCTCGTTATAATTCTTTAAACTGATGGATACGAAGTCCCAACTTTTATCGGTCTTTTATTTACTAATTTCCAGATTTACCTGGCTTTACACGAAGTGTTTACAGATGGGACCATGCTCTTATAACACCAGAAAGCCATGTATTCAGCCCTCTGCCAGATTGGTACATTACTTTGCTTCTCTGTGAACTTTTTGGCTGATAAAAATTATATTGAAATTCTCTCCTATAACTTTGTAACTCATTTTGTAGGGTTAACACATTGGGGGCATACTTGATCACTCCAGCAATGGGGGCACATTTTTCTATGTATTTGGCAAAGATGCAAGGTACCAATCCAAATATCTGGCATCTCGTCTAGCTTTTTTGAGAAATTATTACATCGATATCTCATTGTTATATTTGTCATTTTTGTGCTGCATGGTGCTTGAACATACCGTGGAGTTTTGAAATCTTAAACTTCTTGCTATGCATTTCTTGTTAGTCTAAATGGAAACTTAAAAAATCATACTGTCTGGAAAAAAAGGAAAATAAATCATACTGTCTACTGTGGTAGTTTCTAATTTGAGAAGTTAATGTGACAGGGCATTATTAGGTAAAAAGGTGGTTTTAAGCTCATTGCAGTAACCTATGTCTTTTCTTTGTCATGATAAACCAACATATGCAAAATATAATTACGAGGAAAGATTTAATCTTCTACCTTTTAGTTTGTGAAAATGGTGTGAAAATAAAGATGAAATTGGTAAAGTAAACCAAGGATTACTGATGCTTGGTCATGTGGTAATGTTTCGTCTGCTTGTTATTAGCTGTGCGTTGGCATATTCTTCATTTTCTTGATGCTGTTGTACTTGCTATTTTTGGTTGATGGATCATATCAATCTCTGATTGTCGCTGTTATTCAATGCAGAAAATTCCAGATCAGGACTACCCCCAAAAGATGTTGAAAGGTTCCATTTACTGGTTGATGCTTGCTTTTGTTGAAGACCTAATTACAACAGCCTATAATTAATTGCTAGCATTAGTACAATATAATGTCTGCTTCATACTATTTTTTATATAATTAGCATCAGTATTTTCAAAATGCTAATAGATGTGATAGATATTGCTGACATAAAGACATAGAAGTGATAGAAAAGAAAAAACTCTTGAGGACTTGAGTGCTGAGTCAATTTACATAACTTTATCTACGCAAGTAGAGGTTTTAAGTCAAGACTTGAATCCTAGTGCCCAGATTACTGTTTTGTAATCGTTAAACACTTCTAAGATATCTTGGAGTTTGACTTTGTTTACTCGGTCACGCATAGACTTGACATCAGTTTAGTGCTACCTTTTTTTTTCATTCTTGGCTTTAGCACATAGTTTCTGAGAGTTGTTCTGAGAAATTAGTTTCCAAGAATTGTCTGGGTACAGAATGGTCTTTGATCTCAAGGTATATGTTAGTAGCTTAGTACACAGGATAAATAATATACAGTGTAAGAAGGAATTGTTAACAATATAATTCTAGGTGTATTCACGGGATGTGGGTACGGTTTATAACAAAATAAATTTAGAGAAAATTCGGTTGCCAAAGTACAAAGAATTGTAAGTGAAGTCAAATTACAAGGTGGGGTTTGATCTTCCAAATTACAAACTAATCTAAAATTTTGAACTTCTTTCTCAGCAGGGGTCCTTTGATGTGCTTGGAGGTAATTGGGATTTTCAAACTTATGATTAAGCATTAGCATCCTTCAGCGTCTCATTTTTATACTTCTTTAGGTTTTTTTGTTCTGTTTAACTTGGAAGTAATCTTCAATACCATTGAAAATTTTGTATTTACTATTTATTTACTTTTCTGATGATTCATCCAGGTTTGTCTTTGTGGTTGATGGTGGTGTCACATTTTCAAATGGTTCGATAATTGATCATAAGTTGCCTGTAAGAGATTCTATTTAATTTTTATTTGTTATTCTGGCTCATTAATAGATAGTTACTGTTAGTTTTTTATGTTGATGGTTCTGGAAACCTGATTGATTATCCAGCACATGCACAAATACCTTCGAGACAGTAGAGATACTTGTCTTGATTTTTTTGTTACTTAAATATATTTTTTGGGCTAGCTTTTTGCTACATATTGTGCATCTGATCAGGGATTCTTGTGCAAATTTACACAGCTTAAGACTAATGAATCTCATGAGTGTGCATGCAAAATTACTCCTAGGTGTGAGTCTAGGTGTGACCCTGTTGCTTCTGTAGACAACAAGCAAGGCGATCATCTACAATTTTTTTCCTATGATAACATTAGGTTCAAGGAGGTGTCTTGTTCCTTCATTAAATTCTACATGGAGTCAGTTAATTATGAATCTCATGAGAAATTTTTTAATTAATTTGTTTGTGTCATTATATCTTCCTTTTCTTTTAGAATGTTGATACCAAATCTCAATCATAAACATGTGAGCAATCGAACACTAATTTAGGCATGAGCCGTAGTTGGTAAAAGCAATTATATACCCTGTCAAACCTACTTATGTTGGTTCTGTTCCCAACTTGGTAGATGCCTCTTGGTCTATTTTTATAAGTCTAAATATTTTCGCCAAATCATAAAAGGGTGGATAATAAAAACAAACCTTCCACTTGTGGGTCAAGGCTGCTAATATTTATCCTTTTAGACCCAACAATGAATGAAGCATTGAGCACCATTAAGTTGCAATCATGTTGTAAGCATGTTGTAGCAGGGAAGTTATATTTCTAAATACATTGTATTTATTATGCTGTCTTCATTTTGAATTTTGTTGTGAAATGGGTTAAGTATATCTTTTCTGCCCTATTATAACCTGAAGATCTTGCTTGAATGTAGGTCGATTCATATGCCTATCTGCCTCCGAATGTAGAACATCTGTTAAAGTGTGACACAACAGCTACAATTCTTATTTTCGAGCGTAGGTTGTTTATCTGAATTTCATATGCTTTTTTTTTTTCATAATGTTCCTGTATCATATTTGATGAGTATTCAGTTCTCATCTTCTTTAATTTAATCATATACATTAATGTGAAATGTTCTTTACTTGATTCTCATCTTCTTTAGTTTAGTCATACACAAACATGATATACTCTGTGGCTTTCATTCGTCAGTATATTTGTAGCTTCCACTCATCAGTCATCTTATTTGCGCCAACTTGTCTCTTCTAGGTATATGAGCCTAGAAAACCATTGTCCTGAACAAATTATTGGTTCAACTGAGAAGCAACCACTTCTTGAAACTCCAGGGGAGGTAAAATTTGAAATTTATGACATCTGCCACATAGACTTATAATTTTTGTATTTTAATTTGTCTTAGATTTTCTCTTTACCTGTTTACGACTAGGTGTTTGAACTAAGGAAACTGCTGCCAACTTCTGCCCCTTATGATTTCAATATTCACGTAAGTTACTACAAACAGTAGCTGTATCTATTCTTACACTATTGACTATCCTACCTGAAAGTATAAATGCTGTCTTTTTTTCCCTTTAATATATCTTACAGATAGTCAATCGTTGATTCAGAATTGTTTGATCATAAGGTTTAAAAAAATTGGGATTATAATGATACTTACTGAGTTTTGTGAACCATTTTAAATAACATTTGAATTCCTTTTTATCATATTTCTTGCTGCCTTCTCTTCTGATGATATTGGAAATGTAAAATTGTTCTGATGTCATTATTATAAAAACTACATACAGAGATAAAATTTATGAATTTTTTGGTCACTACAGGGGCTCATTGAATGCTGTACATTCTTCATTTGCCATTTGGCAGTCATAATTGTCAAGATTATACATGCTGGCATTTGACAGAATAGTAATTCTTCAAAGTTCAGTATTTGAGTTTGTGTTCTTGTCCTCGTATCTATAGGATCAGTCAAAGGTTGCTCATAATGGCAAATCTACGTCTTTGTCCTGAGCCTTCTATGTCTTCTAATTGCAGATTATGGATTTCCAACCTGGAGAATATCTTAATGTCAAGGTTTGTGTAACTTCCTTTCTAGCTATGTCTGCAACTAAGACTTCAGGGGCAAGTGTATTCAGAAAGGAGTTTTCTGGTCATTTACTTTGACATGGGCTACAACTTAGAGTGATTTTGCTTTGCTTGTCGTAATAGGAAGTTCACTACAATCAGCACGGTTTGCTACTACTAGAGGGACAAGGAATATATCGCCTGGGTGACAGCTGGTAAGGCTATAAATAGGAAAGCCAGGGTTCTTTTATTTAGATTTGATGCAATATACATATGCATAAATGAGTGCTCTCATCTAAAGATGGCTGTTCTTGTTTGTCTTGTGCTGCTTTTGATGCCTGAAGGTAGATTCTTCTCATGTTCTCTTATATACTCTTTTAAAACAGGTACCCGGTTCAAGCAGGCGACGTCATTTGGATGGCACCGTTTGTACCTCAGTGGTAAGCTTCGAATGAATGATGAACGGTGCTTTCAAACAAGGTCTAGTTTTTATTGGCTTCACAAACTCCTGTCCTCTCTGTATCTTCAGGTATGCAGCACTCGGAAAGACCCCGTCGAGATACCTGCTCTACAAGGATGTCAACAGGAATCCGCTGTAGAACTAATTGATACATGCAAATGCTGAATAGCCCAGTTTTTGAACCAAATTCCTGTGTTTGTAACAGCCAACTATGATCTGAACCGTGTTGTGCAAATATAGGAAATGGAACATTTTCTGGCTTGTCATTCCACAAGTTTAGAGGAGGCTTTTGTGCTTTTTGCTTTTCTATTCCCATGGATGAGATGACACTCCATTTTTAAATCAATTGAAAGTTCAGCAGTGACATTCCTATGGAAACTTTTGGATACTTATCACTCATGATATTTGTCACTCTTGGGTTTGGTTAATCAGTTCGGATCGAATCAAACCAATTTTAAGATATATCAGCATGATCAAGTTTACTAAAGCCTTTAATCGATTTAAACTGATTAATGAAACCAGTTTAAATCGATTGGCTAAATCAAAGCAGTTCATTTGAAAGATATATATATATTTTTTTAATTATTTACAATTATAAATTGATTAATAAAACTGAATTAATCAATTTTAAACTAGTTCGATTAGGTAGGTCCAAATTGGTTTGGACAGATATCTTACTTCGATCGAATCGAAAATCCGGTTTTGTCAGTCGAACCAGTTTGAATACCCTCAGCAAACAACATCACATTATTGGCTGTCATTAATTATCATGCTTTTAAGGTGAACATCTTTAAATCGACAACAACAGCACCACAGCATAACAGATTCAGACTCACTCCAAGAACAATAGACACAATCCACAAACACGTACAAATCTGTGCAGCTCAGTCACAATGCTTGCAAGACTCACAAGTCAAATGGATTCTAGGAAATCCCCACTGCTTTCGACTTCGGTCTCATCGTCGGGATCGACTTCATCAACTTCCACCAACTCCGAAACTGGATTGTTGGCCACTTTGGGGTATTCTGCCGGCTTCTTTGCCTCTTCAATGATGCGCATGATGTCTTCGACGCTCTGGGAGGGCTGATCATCGTTGCCTTCGAAGTTTGTCTTCTCACCATTTATGATTTCTTTGGGAAGGTTCTTTAGAAACCAAGGATGCTGTTTTATCTCCGGAATTGTAATCCTCTACAAGAAGATGAAGGCTTAGTACTGCTGCAGTGCTAATTGGATGCTATGGAACATGAAGAATGTCACACCTTCAATGGGTTGGCGACGAAAATTTGTGATAGAAGTTGCCGGCACTCTGAAGATATACGAATATAATCGGGGACGGAGTACTGAACATTTAGTATTCTCTGTTCCACATGCATTGTTAATCCTAAAGGACTCCTGGGAAGGCAACTCAAGAAAGAGAAAAAGGTAAATTCTCGAGAAAACTTACACTTATAGTCTTCCGGAAGTTTCTGGGATCTTCGGGATCCTCGAATGGGTATGAGCCAACCAACATCACGTACAATGTGACACCACAAGACCAAACATCTGCAATCTGGATTCGAGGAATATCATATCATTTAATGTGAAATATAATTAACCTCTAAAACTCTCTAAGACTCCGAACACTAGAAAAAGGATGTTTAGGCATTTTGCAATTCATAATCACAAGTGACACAATCATTATTGGTAGGTAGATCGAAGCAATTCCGAGCATAAAACATAACCTAAGGATGACTGCTTGCAAGATATTGTGACACAAGCTGAAAGAGACTTTAGCAGAAGTATATCAACAATTAGAGAAGAAAACATCATGTATATCGACAAACATGTTGGCAATCCAACAGTTTCTTCATTACCAATCTACACTCTACAAGAAATGCTGTAACATGCTGACCGATGCAAACAAGGTCATGCCTTGCCCAGCTGACATGGTATCGACATGGAGGTCCAACGTGTGTTGATCGTATGATACTATACATTATACTGGTTTATGCCTGCCAGCATGGACTATATGGCCCACGCCACGAATTTTTGGCCGTATCATATTGTGTTGATGTGTAACTGGCATGGGTCATGATGGTGAAAATTGAAACCATTATTCATAACACACAAATCGATGGATGCTAGTAACATGATTAAGATGTGATGGGACTAAATTGTTGTTTTGATTATCTAAGATTTCGCTTAACTACATACAGATTAAGTGCCAAAAGACAATATACAACAAAACTTAGGAGAGTTACCTTGCCATCGTATTCTTTTCTTGATAGTACTTCCGGTGCGATGTAGGCTGGAGTACCCACTGTTGACTTGGGTTGTGAATGCAACAAAGCAGACTGCAAGCCAACAAGGACAAACATATCGATAAATGTAAGCACTGTAATTGACACCAAATTCATAGACCAAAATGTAATTGTACCTTTGAGTACCCAAAGTCACATATTTTAACACGCGGTGTTGGACTTCCGTCCAAGAGTGTATTCTCGAGTTTAAGATCACGGTGACAGATTTCCTACACGGAAGGAAATAATACTTGAAATAATTTTCTTTTATTCTCTCAAATAATTCAGATCCAGGCTTGTAGTAATGTACCATAGAATGACAATAACTGACTCCCGATATCAGCTGCTGAAAGAAATACCTTGCCTGTTTAAGATGAAATAAATAGCAAATAAATCATACAAAAACCCAAAAAGATAAAAAAAACATCGGCTGTGCATGAGCTTGCAGCAATGTGAAACTAAAGACTTTAAACAACCTCATCTTCACTAAACCGACCGGCACTGCATATCCTCTCAAAGAGTTCACCACCAGCAGCGTATTCCATGACTATGGCTAGATGTGTTGGTGTCAGCACTACCTGCAAGTATTCATTTGTCAGAAGTGAAACAATGATCTTATTTGCATGTAGTTGTCTCTGTACAATGAAGTAGTTCTTTTAAGCAGATCTCATAAATCGAAGTTATGGATTTCTTCATTTGGATCAAATGAGTAATGCTGTTTCGCGCAGAAAGTGAAACAAAATCAATAAAAAGTACTAAGAAGGCATTCTCTATAATAAAAACGATAGAGAAGTAGAGAAATATCTCGAGTGAGAGGGTAAGGATGCAGCTTAATTTGCACCTGGAGGATATCTCTCAGACAGACATTTTGGATTAGCTGAAAAACCGTACAAAGCATGTTGTCAAAAATATTGAAGCAGACATTATGGATGACGATGAATTAACCAAAACTATCTATTAATGATATGATCCGAGAAATATCATCCTTCTCACATAGTTATGCTAACATGCACAATGCTTTTTACATTTATAAGCAGCAATTGGTGGTAAAATAACAGTAAGATGACAATTTAAAGGCACTGTCGACAACAATTTGAAATGACAGAGTGCAAGAGTAATTGCACAAGAAGATGAATTAGAAGAGCCTAAATTTCAATCCATGTAGTTCATAGCATAAAAATGAGCTATCTACACTTCAAACAATCTAGAATTTATTGCAGATTCGATCGAAATATAATGAATGAGCCATTAGACCAGTCATCATTTCCGGCACATCAACACCTGCTAGGCAATTCTACTGAACAGGAAATCTACTAATTACAAAGTGAGTTCGAGTTCTTACCTCCTTGAACCGGACGATATTAGGATGCCTCAAGGACTTGTGGTTAATTATTTCTCTCAGCACATGCTCATCGATCTAAAGAACAAACAAAGTTCAGCATCAAGAGCAATATGAACAATAAATTTCTCACCGTAAGGACAACCAAAACATAATTTCTCATGAAAATAACAAAAGAGCTGAAATTGTTGTATATTACAATCAAAACAAGAACTGAGCAATGCAAACTTTTGGAAAGTCGAGCATATGGTAATATACATTAAACAACAGCAACCCTCATCCAATCAATTCAACCTACGGACAGATGATCTGAGAGAGAAGCAAAACACAGTTGCCAAGAAGAAAAAGATCGATCCAAATAGGCCAATTCTACTCAAAACCACGAAATCGAGATCAAAACCCTATCGTGAAACTCCCACCACAACAATCTCCAGAGAAGTAAGAACAAGGGTGAGCTTTTCTGCAACTGAACTCAAACGATCGACCTCCACCTCGAATCCCAAGCTTAAATGAAGCAGATGAACGAGATGAAGAAGACGGCCATCAAGACCGACAAACCGAGAACCCGATTCAACCATAAAGATTCGATTTTTTCCCCCACAGAATTCTTAGGGCACCACCTTCTTCCCCCTTTCGATGTACTTGACTGCAACGAGCTCGCCCGTCTTCTTGTCCTTCACCAGCCTCGCCACCCCAAAGTTCCCGGCTCCCAGCTCCTTCAGCAGCTCGTACCTCTCCTCCATCCGCCCGCCCAACACCGACCCCACGCCGAACGAAACAGGGGCAGCGTTCGGATTGCTTCGAAGGAATCCACCACCAGAGTCAATAGATCATCCTCACCCCCACCCCGGTCGCTTTCTTCGAGGACACGTTTCGATGGCGGAGTGCGTTCGGCGAGGGCGACACCGCAACAAGGACACGCGTTGCGGGAAGGCGAGGTGGGGGCGTGGGGATGGGCTCCGGTCGCCATCCTTTAAAATGCAAGGTCGCTTTCAGAGAAGCCATTTGTGCGCCTCAGCAAACTACAGAGCACGGCAATGGATTGACCTGGAGTGACCTCTCCGCCTGCTGTTCCTGTGGATCTCGTGCAAGACCTCGAATTTACACGCAGGGCGAGATCAAGAAGCACGAAGGATTCAATCTTTCTTCCCTGCCTACCCGAAAAAGTCGATCTTGCGAGAAGCTTATTGCATCTCCTCTGTAGATTCCCTGCCTCCTTGTCCAATTTGCATCCAAGGGATGCAGCCAGACATTTGGCACAGTTTCAGCTGTCACAAGACAAGGAAATCAAAGCTTGGTAATGGCGGAATCAGCAACTTTGATGTGAAACCGCCGCAAAGTATCCACAAGAATTAATTCCAGAGGAACTCGAGTCCAAGAACTTTGTTGGCTCATCCATGGTTCATGATTAGCAGCAAGAAGAATGGCCCCTAGCAATCTAGAGATAGCAAAAACGTCAATGTTTTTGGACTGGAACGATCCAGAGATTGAATTGTTTCCCCCTTATGCTATGTTGGATGGTGGCCAAGACAGGCTTAAGACATGTCTGTAAATGAAGTCAGGTTATCACCTTCATTCTATCTGGGCAGGAGACATGTCTGTAAATAGTTGGGCACGTCTTGCAAAGCTGCTTTACTAACACAATCAATTTCGAGGTCATCAACTCTAACAAAAAAGGTACAAGAACATAATATCGACAGAAGAAGAACAGCAGAACATCTACTGGTTGAAGCCTCACTTTACTTTGCCTTCTTTTAAAGGTCAAAGCATCAGAGAACACCAGAAGCAGCAACAAGAAGAAGAAGACCTCCTTTGGAGGCAGGAAAAATTTACAGTGGACTTCGTGTAATACCGCAGGTCTCATCCTATACAATCGCGAGAGCTTCCTCATCATGGATAGATCTCTTTCTCTTCCCCTCGTCTCTTCCTCTCGTGGGATCTCCACTTTGTAGGGAGAAGCCCATAGCCTCTGATCCAACAGCGTGGTGATCACCCAGCCACTTGCCTCCTCGCACCGGAGGCCTTCGCGGAGAGATTCCATCTCTTCTCCTTGGCCTCGTCGATCTCGATCCGCTCTTGCCGGCACTCCTCGCTACAGAACGGTGTGTCCCCTCTGCAAACAACCAACACCAGCACCAATTCAGCCACACGCTCGCTCGCGGAGACGGCTCGAGAAGCGGGCGGGAGATCGAACCTGTACATGAAGATGTCGCGGTTGCGGGAAAGCGGCTTCCTGCAGAGCGAGCAGGAGTCCAAGAAGTGGCGAGGCTCGCACTCGCCGTCGACCTCGTCCTCGTCGAAGCCGTAGCTGAACAACCTTCTCGGCCCGGGCGGCGACAGCGGTCCCCCCATCAGGGAGCCTCTGTGGCAAGAGCGCGTGGGGTAAGCGACGTAGGAGGCGCAGCCGGAGAAGCCAGCCCCGAGGTCGGAGGCGGCCAAGGTTCCATAGGAAGAAGAGAAGGCAGAGGAATCCATGGGGAGCTCGAGCCGTGTGAGAAAGATGAGGAAGACGGGGGGAGGGGCGGGCTATAAAGGTGGCGTGGAAACTGCGGCGGGTCATTGGAATCCGTGGGAATCCATCGGCGGAGCGAGGCGGAAAACGAGGCGTAGCCATGGCCTGTTTCCGTATCCCGGTTTGGGTTTGGTTAGATTCTCTAAGTTGCCATTTACCATGGGAAGAGAAAATGAAGACTCAAGATTGCCCCCTCTTGATTCCATCAATCACGTAACTGCCACTGCAATCAATGCCGTGGAGGTAACCTGAGGTGGTGTCGTTTTCGTAGTTACTCAAACAGATTACAAAGCCGCCCGCAGGGATCGTTCGTTTCCTCGCCCTCTCCACCCAACCATCGTCAGCCACGGCGTCACCCCTTCCCTCCACGCTTCCGCTTGTCGTCTTCCGCCGCGGTCTACCCTCCTGTTTTCCCGGTCACGTCTGCCGACGTGGACCCCCCGGGAATCGGGCGATTCACCTGCATCGGGAATCGCGAGCTGTCCGGGAAACGATCTCCACTCTCCCTTCTCCAACGTAGTGGGAAGAGACGGCTTGACGATGCGTCGGCGTGGGTGTACGTCGTGGTATTATTGGTGAGGTGAATAATGGAAATATATATATATATATATATATATATATATATATATATAATATTGAGATTTACTTTATAATAATAGTAGTGCTCGAAGCGATCAACGATCATAATAATTGTTATGATTGAGTAGGTGCAAAGTTACAGGTGTTTTAAGAAAACCAGGACGAAGATTCTAGAAGCACATAGAGAGCACAAAGGCTTCTTCTTTCAAGGGTATCACCAAATTCCCAAGTCTGTGTAATTGAGGTTTGGTACATTGATTCCAGGAGTTGTTGTCATTTTGCATGCATCCAATTACCCTTCACATCACACTCTCTCTCTCTTGAGACAGTGTTTCCATTCTATCCTGGTATTTGCTTGATTTGTGCGTTGGGAATAGGATTGATGTGAACTGTTTGATTTGAAAAGTAAGCATGACTATTTCCACCCTACATTTTGTATATTTTTTTATTGCATGTTTTGAGGAAATTTGTGATTAATGTGATCGTGTTATTTGTCCTCTCAATGTATATTAATTTGATGTATAAAATAATACTTGTATTTTCTTTAATTTCTCATTCTTTGCGGCTCATCAGACTCGATCGATCTGTGCATCGATATTATATGTTCTGATGACATTATTGAAGTGGTTAGCTAAAAACCATGATTGATGGGTGGATGAACCCTCACCAGCTGACACAGCCCATGTGCTTGCAGCATATAGCGTGGCCACCACCACACGTTGCTGTCGCCCATGCGTACCCCTTGATCTGACTCATGTGCCTGTACAATCTTGGACAAGCTCCATCATAATGATTCCACACTAATTAATATGTAATTATGGCAGGAAAATAAGTGCAATCACAGGAATCCTCATTGGCAAATCATTGTGTATCAGTGGAAATCAACTCAATCTTCGGTTCATTACGAGAGGAAGACACTGCAGCAGCTGAAAGGTTCCATGTTGTGCCGCTACGCTCATCATGTTCCCTGAAACTACTCATGCCGAGGGTGTAGTCCAGGTGAGAATGTAGTACAGGTGAGTTCGATTGAGCCAAAGTCCTTTCGAGCCTGACCAAAGATGAACCTCCAGATGAAATTATGATTAACAATACCATAAATTGTTTGAGCTGACAGTTTGTTTCAATTTAGCGAGACAGACAACCATGAATCTATCTGAATCAATGTGATAAGTTTGTGACGACACAATAATTGATTGAGATATGTAAAATGTAATATTTATGTTGATAACAAGATTTTAATGTCGATCAATACGGATCGCTTAAAATTATTATTTTTTTCTCTTCTAAGTTAGTGGTAAAGATGAGATTTGATCATTCATTTTAAAAAATATATCGGATGAAATTTTAGAGTCATAGGACGCGTGTATCCGCCAACTTCAATACCGAACGAACGATTTGGTCATCGATCCGTCTGACCATCAATGGAATTGAAAACCATGATTGATACTCTAATTTACCGATCTCAGATCACACAAACTCAATACAATGCAATGTAGAGAACCATGGCAATAGACACAGCCTTCAAGCAAGTTTCCAAGCAACCACATTTCGTAATCTAAGTCAAATAATACTCTTTAAGAGTAGAAAAACAACAAAAAAATGCCACTATAACAGGAAGGAGAGAACAAGTTACTTTGTAGTTCAAGCCAACAAATCTGCTAGAATTTCGTATCTACGTGGAAACAAAATAATGCCAAACATTCCAGATTTGTACAGCAAGATCACAATCAAATTACCACAGTGCTTTCAGCTGAAACAAAAATTTATTTGACTTTCCCCTTCTTTCCTCTCATATTGAGAGTTGGCCATTTATCTGAGTTCAACGATGGTTCAAGAGGATTGTATGCCAAGCGATAAACACTATCATTCAACCAGATAGTGCAGCATTCAGTGCACTATGAACATCGACGCCAATCTGTGCTTCAGCCTTTTCCAAGTCCGTGGTAGCTGAGTTTAGCTTCTGGGTGAAGTCAGCAAGTCCCTTTTGGACCAGACTTGGATCGATGCGGTCAACAGGAACAGCCTCAACAGCAACTATGTCTGTAACTGAGTTGGCATGTACGAAAGCAAACCCACTGCTAACAAAGTACTTGGTAACTTCATTCCCTTCGTGTACAGAAAGGACCCCTGGTTTGAGCTCGGCAATGGTGGCAACATGTCCAGGCAAAACACCCATTTGCCCTGTAGTTGCTGGTACAATGACCATATCAACCTGAAAATAGATAAGTTAGAGGACAAAGAAATCGAAGTAGTAGTCCGTTTGTCAGCCTTAGTATTTCATATAGACACCATGGTTGGATTTTAAAAATCAGCTAATAGAAAAATATTGATGATCATGGCATGATTTCTTTAAAAAATTAGTGGTTATAGGGCCAAATATGATCAATGACAAGTCTGCTTGAACTTTCTAGCAGTCACAACTAATTTCTCACGGACCATCTCCATCTCCACAGTGTACATGAAGGAGGTCAGGGTCAATGTGCACTCAGAGATACATAGCCAACACTTTACCAGAACAATGCTAGTCAGCGTGCACTTTGCATGATGATGTGCAAATAATCAGATTATTTTCCACATGAAGACATTTTAGAATATGACCATGCTTGAATTAATTTTTTACAGGACATCTCTATTGAATCCTTCTTCAGATAATGCTTAGAATGCATTAACAGATCATGCTTGCTAAATGGCTAGGGAAATTATGCATCTAGTTTTGATGGATTAATAGGTAAGACTCATGCAGATCACAAACCTAAGAGAGAAATTACACACGAATCTGTCATACATTGTGATGGTTGCAAGTATTAACATCTATGTCATACATGAAGCACGAAGACTTCAAGATTTTCCATATCAAATAGCTCGTAGAAAATGTATCATCAAAGTTTATGAAATCTCTTGAAGAAACCATCTCATTGAGCCATAGCTTAGGTTAGAGGAATAATACCTCTGCTAACAAAGAGTTTAACAGCGTTTATCATTTTATTCAACATTTAGGCTTCCAAATCAGCTCTTATAGGAAGTAACTACAAGTAAGATTGTAACTGAAAGTTCTGTGGCACAGTGGAGACCCTTCCACTTGCTGCCAGTCCGATCAAAATTTTCATAAAGCACCAAGAATCACCATTTTTTTTTAATCTATTAGCTTGGGAACATATCATCAAAGCTCTCAACTTTTCTTCAGGAATTATGTCGTTGAGCCATAGATAAAGCTAAATAGAGACAACCTACTCTCACAAAGAATTTAACATTGATTACCATTTTCTTTGACATTCCAGCTTTTGGATCAGCCCTTTTATGGTCATAATTCCTCATGAGATAGTACCTTCAAATAAGGACCTCACATTCACTAGACATATATAATACACTCTCACAATGCATTGGCCTGTGCACCAGGCTTTGCATGCCAATATCACACTTAGATTATATCTTTGTAACTTCGAAGTCCGGTAATCATGGTACAGCAAAACTTAAATTTTCAGAGGGATGATTCCATGAAGCACTAAAATGTACATTCCAAAAGGAAGGAATACATAAAAGAAGAAAGTAAATATAAACAAATAGTACTAATGTAACTGCACATTACACATAATGCAAGTATTCACTCTTGAAGGCTCTCGTCTAAAAAAAATTAATATGAATATCTAGCATTATGGCTCTCACATCCTTAAAAGGTAATGCATTGAAAGCCAAACACAATGAATCAATTAATACTGAAAACATAAAGCAAGAATATTCAAAAGCGACAACTAAAGCAGTAACAGTCCTTGTCTTATAATGTTACATAATAAGTTCATTGGGGTATGTTGTTATCACATCAACCACGCACAATAATCCTCTTATCCTTGTGTATTTGCATGTTGACATAAGCAGCAGGTATGAGTTTTTAAAAAAAGTTATTTATCTCCTTTATTAATTGTTCCAAAGTTGTAAAACATCCACTATATTTCACCAAAAATTATGATGAATTAGACCAAACCTACTAGCGGCTTCCATCACAACGAGATAACAAGTTCAGAAGCTTTTAATAGTTTTGTTCCTTTGGCATATTTTTCCAGTACTATTACAACCATCCTTCTCTCTTTCTCTAACAATTCCAACTTTGTTAAGTTCATAATTAAGTGATTAGACTAAGAAGATGTGGTCTTCCAACATTTGAAGGATGCCCAGGGTTTTGTATATACAAAATTGAATGATCAGCCATATTTAATTATGTAGTTTTAGCTAACGAATCTAAATCCTGCCTCTACCATTTAGGTATGCTCCAGCCTTACCTTCCACTAACATTGGTCAGATGAGTAATCCTAGGGTTTCCTCAATCTATCACCGCCTATTATAAGGCATAACTCACTCAGAAACCTAACCAAGTCCTTATCACTAAAATATCAACAATCTAACTGCATGAGATGTCCGATTCAAATTTCAGATTGCACCTTCCAGCATCCGAGCTGTTGCTCCCGGACACAATCAACCACAAAACTTTCATCCACCATTTCGGTGATTGCAAGAACTAATTCCTAGCAATTGACTGAAGAGGATGGAATGAATTGACAATAACATTATAATTATATATCTTATTTCATCAATACAACTTAAAATTCTTCAAAGATTTCAGATCCTAAACTAAATTTATGAGATGTATTAACAAAGATGCAGAAAAACCCAAACATCAAGGAAAACAAAGAATCTAGATGAGACTTAGGAGGTGAAGTGAGCAAGCAAACCTCCTTGTTGGAGATCTCGGATTGGTAGGGGATGACGAAATTGACGGTGAGCTTGGAGGGGATGGAGGAGGGGGTAGGTGGACGGGGCTTCATGAAGGCGAGTGGCGTCTTGGGCGGGTCGATGTTTGGGGCCACCTTCCGCCACGCCTCCACGAACGCCGTATCCTCCGACGGCGCTGCCGGGAGGTCGGTGGAGAAGGGGCGGAAGGAGGCAGTGCTGCGGTGACCGCCTCCGCTGAGGGCGCGTGTCACGAGGCGCGAGGCTTGGCGGGACATGGTTGGTCGCTGCGCCCACGCGATCTCTCTCGCTCGCACGCTCAGTTGAAACGGGGGAGACGATCGAGAGAGAGAGAGAGAGAGAGAGAGAGAGAGGGAGGGAGAGCGTTAACTATAGATTGGGGCTTTCTTCTTGGGTCCAAATCAGCTGTTCTTAGCCACCTTACCAGACAGGAAAAAGCGCGTTCCTGTTGGTTAGTTTCGTGGGCCCCTCTGCAGAAGCTGCTTACTAGAGCGGGGTCCATACTTAAAGCCCAAACCGAGAGGCGATATTTGCTGTTGCAAAACAATAGTCCGATGTTTTCCTAGTTTTTAGTTCTTCATAATCTAATCTATATTTATATATACACATTTGGGCTTCAATTTGGTCCAATTAGCAAGTCGTTCATATTGGGCTATTGGGCCTGAAAGCTCTCCTCTTCAAAGAGACGAGGAGCCGCAGCAGCGGTCCACCGGTGCGGAGGCTGCGATGGGCGAGGCAGAGTGGCTTTGGGCGGTGGCGACGTGCGTAAAGGCGCTACTGATCCCGACGTACCGCAGCACCGACTTCGAGGTGCACCGCCACTGGTGCGCCCTCACCTCCGCTCTTCCCCTCGCCCGCTGGTACTCCGACGCGTCGGCCCCCTGCTGCCCCCTCGACTACCCCCCGCTCTTCGCCTATTTCCAACGCATCCTCGCCCTCCCCGCCACCGCCCTCGGCGGTCACCCCTCCGACCTCCTCCGCCTCTCCCCCTCCTCCCCCTCCTCCGCCCCCCTCCCTGTCCTCATCTATCTCCGCGTCTCCGTCGCCGTCACAGACCTCGTCTTCCTCCTAGCCGCCGCCCGCCTCGCCCACCGTCGCCTCCCTCCGGCCAGCCGCCGCCTCGTGCTCGTCCTTCTCCTCTGGTCCCCCGCGCTTCTCATCGTCGACCACATCCACTTCCAGTACAATGGCTACCTCCTCGGCATCCTCCTCCTCTCCCTTTCCTTCCTGGAGGAGGGGAAGGATCTCGCCGGGGGACTCGCCTTCGCCGTCCTGATCTGCTCCAAGCACCTCTTCTTGGTCGCCGCACCCCTGTACTTCGTGTACCTACTTAGGCATTACTGCAGGGGGGGCTCGTGGGAGGCATCGAGGAGGTTTCTGACCATGGGCGCGGCAGTGGGAGCTGTATTCGCCGCTGCATTCGGACCATTCTTGTACTATGGGCAGGTGAGCGTTGATTCTTTATCGAGTTACTTCTATTTTATGTTTGGTTGGAACGTGAAAAAGTAAAGATCTTAGTCGAATTGATCTTCATTTAATTGCAAGATGTGATTGCAAAATTGGGTCTTTGGCTTGCAAATTCCAAATTTTTTCACGGTAGAAAACCTTTTCTTTCCGTCACAATACTAGTGAAAAAGGTCCAACAATTTCTGTTCAAGAGGGCATTTTCTGAGTCCAGTTGGCAATTTCTTTTTCAGTTTCTATTCTGATTGAATCGATTAGGGAACAATCATGTTTTTGATGATGCCGAGCTCTTTTCTAAGAACAAGGTCACTTATTTCTTGCAATGCTTGGCATAGAAGGGAAAGTGTACAGATTTAGATTGTTGGTTGTGTTCACGACTTGGAGGACACGGATGAGATCACTCTGGAGAGAGACACCACAAGACAACCCACTAAGGGTTAAGGCCTAAGTTTCTAGTAATCTACAGCCATTTTGAATAGCTTCTGTTGTACATGGCAGATGCAACTCCATGGACTTAATTGACACATCTTAGCTCTATGATGTGTGCACTTCCACAAGTCCTATGTTGACCCTATCTTTGGTTCAACATATGCAAGGCATATGCTAAATGCTCAAGTAATTATAATGATCCTATGCATTGAAGGAACTTTTCACTAAGTTCCTAAGGATGAGCATGATGGATGTATTGGTTATTGAGTACTCAGGGTAACATTGCTGTTCCAACTGCAAATGAGATATTCTATGAAACAATGTTCAATCAATTGTTTCTTTGTTGCTGCTTATAATCTCTAGGTGCCTACACTGTGTAGACAAATATTTCAACTTCTTCCATTGTATATATTTATGCCATCCATAATTCAGAAGGTTCATACCTGGATTGAGATTTAATAGGGATTATGTGAAAAGGATTGACAATGTCGAACAAATCAAATTGGCAGAACTATATTTTTTGGCATTATATACGCTTATTTTGATGCTGTAATGATCATCCAATATGCCTAGGATATCTTCAATGCGAAACGTTGTTGGATTAAGTTCAATTATCCAAACTCCCAAAAATTTTGTCCAAATATAAAATACACAAGGTGATCAAGAGAGAAATTCGGGTAAGAACTTGGATATACTCTTGAGAATTCATATTCATAATAAGACATATTTCGATTTTCCTTGGACTTGGTGCTGTTGGTAATTTCAGTTTATGATGCTGATGCAGCATCTTATGACGTTCGGTTAGGAATTCATGTTTTTAGATACAATCTTGTAATACTTCGGTTTTCTCTATTCTAATACATACAGTTGGTATTTTTTACATGAATGCTCATATTTGCACATGATAGTTAAGAATTGGACATAGTGATAATTGTGTAACATATCCACCTACTTAGATTGGACCCAAAGATTCTTGTGCAGGATAAACAAGACTTGGATGAAGTCATATTTCTATCATCCATAATTATTACACCATCAATCTCAGGCTCTGTAAATCGTGTAGTAATAATCCCATTCATTTTATATAGGAGCCCGCCATTGTGTTAAATTATCTGATCTACTTGTCCTTGATTTTGTGCCCTTGGCACATATTGGATGTCATTTATTAAGAAAGCTAATAGTTTTTATAAATATCTTCCGAATCCGTCAGTTGAATATATGATGAAGTCTTCAACTTTCATTTGTTAGATATTGAAAATAACTGTTTTCTTGGGGCTAGGTACCAAGACTTCTATAATGACAATACTATTGGTATATTGTCAGAATATGGGGATTAATTTAAGCAGAGCTACTCCTTGGGTACCATATACAAATTGAACTTCTTGTAATTCCTTTTGGTTTATTATCTGTTTATTATTGACTTGTACATGGTGCAATTCTTAATTCCTTTATTGAATATTTCTGATCCTGCTGTCTTATAAGATAGATTTGCTTCTTGCAAGATGTGTGTGATTTGAGTTTTCATCCCATTTTTAACACTTGTATTCCTGCAGATGCAACAGGTTCTTAGCCGTTTATTTCCATTTGGCAGGGGCCTGTGCCATGCATACTGGGCTCCAAATTTTTGGGTATTTTATATACTTCTTGACAAGGTCCTTTCCTTTGTGCTTTTGAAGCTGGGATTTGATATCCCAGCTCCAAAAGCTTCTTTTACTGGTGGACTGGTTGGAAATTTCTCCCAATTTGCTGTGCTCCCGCAGGTACTGCCCCATTTTGTTGCTTCCAGCAGTGAGTATTCGGCTAGCTGTTCTGATCTGACATCTTCAAACTTCTGAATTGATAGGTCACACCATTGATAACCTTCTTGCTGGTGATATTTGCTATGTCTCCATGTCTCATTAAGGCATTCCAAAAGCCCCAGCCAAAACACATAACTAGATGGGTGGCATATGCCTTTACCTGTGGCTTCATGTTTGGTTGGCATGTTCATGAGAAAGCATCACTTCACTTTACAATCCCACTTGCTCTAATTTCAGTGAATAATTTGGATGATGCAAGACATTATTTCTTGTTGTCAATAGGTATGCTCTCAAAAGTAGTGTTTTCATTTATTTCATTCAGATAGGAAGCTGTTCTCTTGGTGAAGTCTTTTGGATTTGTAACCTGTTTAAGTAATTACAGAGCTCTGTATCATTGATGTGTGTGTAATTACTCGAATTACTCCATCATCAGAAACTTATTTCTTGTTGGTATTCAGAGTACTTCTCTGCAGCAGATTTCATGCATTGACATATATGTTCTTCTTAGAATTCAAGGCCTGAGAAGATTGTTGTGCTGCTCTTTTAGCTATGATACTATGGTTAGCGTTCTGTTCATTGTTTATGCGACTAATATGTGGTTACCATTTTTATTTTTTGCAGTATCCTGTTACTCCATGTTTCCTCTGCTGTTTGACCCCCAGGAGTACCCAATAAAAGTACTGCTGTTGGCCATACACTCCATTCTCATGTGGATAGGTTTTTCCTCATGTTTCAGAGTAGAAGTTGCTCCTGGAGGAACTAAAACCAACAATTCAATTGCTTCAAATGGAAAACAAGGATTTATTGGAAAATTTGGAACAATATATCTTCTGGGATTGTTGGGTGTGGAATTATGGGGTCAGCTGTTGCACCCATATATTTTCGGCAGTAGGCTTCCATTCCTGCCTCTTATGTTGATTTCCATATACTGCGCTGCTGGGATGATGTACTCTTGGGTATGGCAGCTCAGGCAGATCCTCAAATGCAGCTGATATGTATATCTTTTTGTTTCTAAACAGACAAGTTTTCATTGATATCAGTTGGCAGAGAATTTTGATTAGAAGTTATTGGAGGATTTTGGCCATCAACAATTTTTATTTATTCAGAGAAACCCCCTTCTAGTTGTATGTTTTTGGACCAAAAAAGGTCATCTGTATACAAAGTGGACAGAAAGAAACCTCTAGGGTATGGAAGGGATTTCAGCTAATGTCTCATGAGCTGCTATCTGCCATTTCTACAGCAATGTTGATGCATTACAAGCAGTTATTTGTTTCAGGAGTTCTGCTATAAGCATTGCTGATTGATTCTTTTCCTGTTGTCTTAATAACTCTTATTAAAGTTTAGCTTGAGAAGTTAATCTTAGTCCATTGCTTTCTTGCTCAGTGCTGTATACTGTAATTTCTCTTAATCCACACAGGATACAAGTGTTGCATAGAAGAGGAAAAAACATGAACAGAGACACAGAATCAACATCACTTCATACAATTCAGATTTGATGAAGCCTATATCACATGCCTACTCTATTCCCATTCATTAAGAACATGATCATGGAGGAACTGATGTTCTAGAGTCCTCTAGAAGGTCATAGCAAGGGTAACATATGTGTAAAGATGAGGGTATAGAGAGAGGAATTAGGTTTATTTGTTATCTTTTTAGAAACAACTGCATCAGTGAATGTAACAATTTGACTTTCCTACAAGTAGGGAAAATGGAAGTACCGAAGCTATTTGTAGTCAATCTCATTAAAGTTCAGATAAACCAGAAAGTTGCAAGAGAGGCAAAAAAAAAGAAGAAACTTCTACTTAGACACTTGTAAGTGCTAAGAATACTAGATCATGTATTATGTACTGATTTAGATTTTTAGAAGGTGCAATGATATTGATCAAAGACTTAAGATAGTTACTACGAATATTGGGTGCTTGAAATGAGAGAAAACTATTGGGTGCTTCATATTTCAGCATAATCCAAAAGATTTTGGGTGAGCATGGGGCTATCTACTGCAGTGAATTTGTGAAAGTATTGAGAGCCGATTTGATGTGACTTCTTCCTCCTTATGGAGATGGGGAATTGGAATGATATCAATAGTCATGGACAGCCTTGAGATTGCTAATCATGGGGTAGCCATGGTTATCCACCACTGTTTCCTGGGCATGCCAAAAGCATTCATGTTCTCTCTAACGACTGAACCAAAGTTTAAGCCACTCATTCTCCAGTATTCTAGTGTTTCATTCCATTGGACTCAGTGCCAGCTCGAGACAATCTGAAAGGGACAGCCATTCCCCAACAGGTAATAAACTATTGTCTTCTTCCCCAGCCAGAGCATGCTTTATCTCCCTCCCTCAATTCTAGTGCTCTTTTGCTCTGCAGCAAAAGCTTCACAAGTACAGCAAAAGCAATCATTTGATTAAGCCATCATATGACATTTTGTTGTTAGCCACTAGTGAACAGATCATGATGACAATGCCTGAAGAGCTTGTGTCCCATCCGGAGGAAGAAGCTTGTTAGAGCAGTAAAGAAGCAGATCAAAGGGCAGACATGCACCCCACTCGCAATCCCAAAGACAAGAAAAGGCTGCTTCTGTGAACTGTGGACTAATGATGGCATCCATTTGTGACACCAGCCATGTCTGCAGACCAAGCAAGTGCATGTTTTCCTTCTCAGCTCTCATGGTGTGTGCACACTTGGAGAAGTGTCAGATAGCACCTATTAATGAAACATTCCCATGGTGCAAAGGAAGAATGGACTCCGAGAATGGGAAGAACCAAATATGATCGAGTCTGTGGTGTGCTCTTGTGATTCATGAACTCCAGCTGCTGTAAGTTCTTATGAGAAATGGTCACATGTTGCTGCTGGATCATATTTGCTTAAACAACATATTTCTCACATTCCTTCTCGTCATCGTCAACTTCCATGGAGATGGTTTCTGATACGAGAAGGAAAATTTAATGCATTAATCATTTGACATTGTAGCAATCAATTGCCACTGCCTCTCCACCATCACATCACCCCCTTCTTCCTACAGCTGCATTAGTTTAAGTGACAGAAGCATGTTCTGCAGGAATACTTTTTCTTCTTCTGCTCCGGTGGCAACCATAATCCAATGTAGAGTGTTGGTTTGAAGCTTTAATCATTCCAAACATGAATGGAAATCCAATAACTGCTTTCGGTAGGAAGGCATGCAATTTCCTCAACCTTCCTTTTCATGATGCAATGAGAACATTTACTACAAGTTTTATGATTCTGAGAAGAACTCATTTTCTGCTATTCAATGTTTCTGCGCGACACATTGAATGCCGTGACCTGCTTCCTTTGCCTGGCTGTACGATGGTGTTTGTGATGCTGCAGTGTCGAGGGCCTCACCTGCTCAGGCAGTGGACTCATCCTCCATCACCGAATGCATTTGTGAATTGGAGAACACAAGCACATGATTCGGATGCATAAAGAATGCTACACAAGTTAAGGCCAAATCATCAGTTAGCTGCCTCTTTCTCACACTATTCTATTTTCATAAGAGTAAATGCCTGCTTTGGTGGATTCAGATGTACATCTCAGGAAAAGAAAAATGCTGCAAGATGTAATGAGCCATAAGGAGATCGAAAGTGACATCTAGCAGTTTTTTTCTTTCAAAGAAACATGCTTTAATTACTGGGATGATGAAAGTCCCCAACAGCTACAGAGCCTTGAGAGTGAGAACAAAACATATTTCAAGAAAGTGATTAAAAAAAGACTATTGGTTCTACTAAAATGGATCCAATTGATATCTTTAGCAAGAGTTATACTGCTATCACATAGATTATGAATGGATTAAGGAATAGGAGAAGAGCAATCAAGTATAACCTACCATTCAGCTTGGAGAGGGCTATTAGCAAAGGGTTTGTAGGTAAATCATCCTTACAAGAGATAAAACTTTAAATCAAAGGATAATAAGTTGAGAAGAATGGTTATTGCATCTGTCCGGAGTAGCTCATGTTCCTTTGTAATATTTCCCCTTATGAATATTTCTAAACTTAGAAATTTAAGGACATATTGAGGAAAACCAAAGAGTGTGGAGTGATAAGTTTGATCTATTCTTTTATTTTCTTTGTTCCTCGAGGACATGAGACTAAACACATAAATAATGAGAGAACTATATATAAGAGGTAAAATCTATCAATAAACTGAGAGAAAAGGTTTAAGAATTACCCATGTAGTGATCATCTTGAAAAGTTAAGATTGATTCTTAGATTTAAAGAAGAGAAGGGTTTCCTTGAATTTCTAGAAGAGAAGTGCTAGAGAAACAAGAAAAATAGGAAATGATTTGCCCACACTCATTCATGGAAAGGAAAACTAAATTTTGATTATTACAAATTCAAGAAAGTACTAATAAAACTATAATTATACAAAAAAAAAAAGATTTCTCCCTACATTTATAAGTAAGGAAATAGTGAACATAACAAAATGTGGATAGCCAAGATATGAAGATGATTGGAAAAGAGTTTCTAAGCATAGCCTCGAAAGAAAGATTTTAATTTTTGAAAGAATATTAAGACTCTAAACTACTTTCCAATTCTCCCTCTCTTCAACTTGGTGGTATGCAGACACTCTCTTCGAGTATCTGTAAACACTTTTGGAGGCAAAAGTTGGATTGAATAAAGACTTCAAACCCAAACATCATCATTAAACTAGATGGAGAGATTAGTATTTTTGATTTTTATGATGAGAGCTAGGTGGAAAATCCTATTAATCAAGAGTTCTAAGCATGGTCATAAATAAGATGAGGAAAATATTTGTAATTGAAGAAAGACTAAGAACCATTCCAAAGGAAAATATTTTATCCAATTCCATCCAATTTTTCAAACTATTTTTAGTATTAGATATTGTGCCACAAATATCACACCATATACAAGAACTCCTTTTGCTTTGCAAATACAAGGAGTCAAAGAATATTGTGCTTGACAATTAGAACCTTTGGATTTAATGTAGAAGAAATGTTGAGAATATGAAAAATTAATTTAGAGTTAACTATGTATTTGTAAAGGGAAATGTGGGAGATATGATTTAGTCTAACCAATTAGTCAAAACTTTCTAGACGAAAGAGAGTCCCCAAAAAGAATGTCTTACTAATTTTAAAAATTTTATAAATAAAACATCGATAGTCGAATAATTGATGGTATAATAAGATTAGAATTAAGAATAAATTGATAAAGATAATTTTTTTCGATCTAGGAGATAAATTTGTTTTACCATATTAACCCTGGAGTTAGATTTGTCAATAATCTTATTTTAAATATTAATCGATAAACATAAAAGATGATTATTATTATTTTTAATTTATTAACATTGGAAAAAAGTTCTTGTACAATTCATTGAAGTCATTGGTATCATAAATGTGATATAGGTGTTTACTAGTTTTGCTTGAAACTTGTATCATCTTTGTTCACGAATTTGAGTTAAGATCGAATGAAAGACTAATCGCATTAGTGTTTAATATCATATACGTTAGCTTTCTAATTTATTATTATTATTAAGTTCTAATTTTCGATTTTTGTAAATAAAATGAGAAATAACAATATAAATATGGGAGGAATAGAGTAGAAGGGAAAGCAATATATATATACATATATATATATATATATATATATATATATATATATATATATATATATATATATATATATATTTATATTTATATTTATATATATGTGTGTGTGTGTAAAAGCCGACAAAGGAAATCTCTCTCCTGCGCTTATCCCCCTCCCTCGGCATGGACTCGCCTCCGCCTCCTCCTCGAGCCCCGCCACCGCCGCTGGCTGTCGAACCCCTGACGTCGACGGAGTCTGACCGCCAGCACACTGAGGCCTCCTCCCCCTTGCCTTCTGTAATCCTCAGCCATAGCCTTTTTATCATCGCCGGCATCATCGTCTGCGTCATCGTCGCCTCCTTCTCCATCCACCTCCTCCTCCGCTTACTCTCCTGCCGTCGCCGCTCTTCCTCCGCGGTGGCCGCCTTGCCGCTGCCGCTCGCACGTTCCCTTCCCGCCTCGGGCTCCCCCTCCCTCGCCGCCGCGGCCAGTTCGGTCATCGCCGACCAAGAGAATGCGGCGCTCATCGACTCCCTCCCGGTGTTCACCCTGGCCTCCGCCCTCGCCTTCCTCCCCAAGTCGTCGCTGGACTGCGCCGTCTGCCTTTCCCGGTTCCGCCCCCAGGACGAGCTCCGCCTCCTCCCGGCTTGCCGCCACGCCTTCCACTGTTTGTGCGTCGACCCTTGGCTCCGGACGACCCCTTCGTGCCCCCTCTGCCGCGCCTCCATCTCCCTTCCCGGCCCGCCCCTCCAGCTGCTGCCTCCCGTCACCGGCGACCGGGAGCCCTCAAGGTCCGGTAGCTTCCGCATCGAAATCGGTAGCGTCAGCCGCCGGAGGACTCCATCAGCGGAGGAACCGGGAAACCACCAGCAGCCACCGCTACCGCCGAACCTGAGGACGTACTCGATAGGGTCGTCGTTCGAGTACCTGGTGGAGGAGGAGGTGGAGGCGGTGGTGGCGCGGATCGCGAGGCGGAAGGAGAAGGTGGAGAAGCCAGGTGAAGACACGGCCCCCGCCGCCGCGGCGGACACGGCGCCTGCGGCGCCAGGGGAGGGGGTGGCTGAGGCGGCTGGGGGCGGGCGTGGGTGGCTGAAGGAGTACGTGGACCGGCTGGCCTCGTCGGCGTCGTCGTCCTTCTCTTCGCTCCGCCTCTCCGGTCGCTGGAGCCACCGCTACGACGGCGACGTCGGGCGGCAGTCGTGGGACCTGGAGGGGAGCGCACGGCGGGACGCGGAGGAGGGCGGTTACTACGCTTTCTACCGGTGGCTGATAGGGGCATAACCGACATTTCATGCTCTCTCGATCCCCTCCTGTCACTGCCGCCACCGAAGCTTCTCTTCGGATAACCCCCCACCCCACCCATTCTAACCCGACGCCTACCCCTGTGTCCCTGTGTTCCCAAGTCCACCTTGGGTCGACTCGATGGACCGATGCCCATCGGTGGGACCCACACCAGTTGTAATAAACAGAAGAAAAGAAAAGAACAGAATAACCAAAAACGATTTGCCAGGAAATGTTTCTGTGATGTTGAGAATTACTGCCACCATGATTCCATTCCTCGCCGGCGCCCGAGCTTGTTTCACCATCAGCGTCCGTGGTACATCAAATCCTCTGCTTCTTCTTCTTGTTGTTGTCGTTGTTGCTGTGCTTTTGTTCTTGTTGTGGGAGTCGCAAAGTAGGACGACGAGGGAGAGTTAAAGAAGAGGCGAGGGGAGGAGCAGTAAAACTGAATAGAGTCATGAGGAGTTTGAATGCTCCCATTAATACATGCTTCATTACACCGCCTGGCCACCTGCACCTCATTTAAGCCGAACATGTGTACTCTTGCCGCGGGGTTGGTGGTGGTGGTGGTGGTGGTGGTGATGATCTGTTGTCTTCTCCCTCCATCTACAACATTAATTACGGATCACTGTTAAAACAAAAGGAAAGGTTATGTTACCGGAGCAAGTTATACGTTGCTATCGGCTCGTTGGTTTTGGATGTGATTTGAATACTAAGCATCAAGCACACATTAAATGTTGCTTGACGGGTTGCGACGCCAAACGTAGGTGGATACATGGAGCTCGCACTGTGGCGGGGGCAAGCGGGAGGCGGGGCGGCCGTGAGGTTGTGGTGCCTTTCAAGTCTCGTGTATCCATCCCGAGAACAGGACAAGCATAGACTCGGATGCTTCCTAGTGTCTGTATCCGTGAGAGTTTTAAGAGATGAAGGTAACTGCAAATGTCACACCAACCCCTACCGTGTCGAAGGTGTTTAGTCAAAAATTCCTACGAACATGGTTATATTGCCCAAATAAAGCCCATATAAAGCTCGATGAAGGTAACTGCAAATGTCACTCTTTTTTTTGTTCTTTGTTAGTTATATATATATATATATATATATATATATATATATATATATGTATGTATCGCTTTCTTAGAGTCTAGTCCAAGTCACCTTCTGATAGCCATTATTACCTCGCTATCTCGCCGGAGACTTGCTGCAATATCTTCGCAAGTCTAGATTTTCTGTCGGATGCTAATTCGTCCATCGTTTTCTTCGTATTCAGCCATTGATTTGGAACCCATTTTTTATAATACGAGTGTCAGGTCAGCGTATTGTCAGGGTCTTGGCTTTAAGATAATATATATCGATACATGCCAACAAAATGCTGTCTATTTTCGGTTGCTTTTGAGAATACACTATCCGATTCACATTAGACGTCAGTCAAATGCGCACTCCGACACATCAGATTGCCTTTGACGTGTCGGCTTACCGACTCATCGTGTGAATATATTAGACACGCTTCATCTCGAAAGGTGGACTACGCGGATTTAAGTCCAGCGACGGGGACCAACAAAGTGTGGCCATGGAAGACATAAGCTACAGTGAGGTTTACTTACTGCATCAAACTGATGGTGACACCTGAAGGTGTAAAGCACGAAGAGATACAGTACCTCCGACGCATCGGATAGATGCTCCCCGGGGACCTGCTTATAGGGTTCGGGTGATGCTTGAGGCTGCCGTTCATCGGCAAACATTACATTGTCCAAAATTCCTGCTGATTAGATACCTGAACTCAAATGTTTTTTTCACTTCAATATACCCAAATAAACATTAAATTCTTATCATTTGGCAATCGAAAGGTTGACATTTGGAATACAACAGCCCCAGCAACACAACCGGTTTGCTAAACGAAATATATAACCTGAGCATGTACACATACATCAACAACCCTAGTTTAAGGTTTACCTATCAACAAATATGTCAAGTCCTTTGCCTATACACTGAGATATCATTGTTACCAGATTATTCCTGGAAGTAATCAATCACCAGAAGTTTTGGCAGGAATATCAATCGCGTTTCAGGAAACCAAAAATTCACACATGAACAAGTTCAACTCTTAACTGGAGATCAAATTCAGACGGGGCAGATCACCATACTCCCTAAAATTGGAGTGACTGGTCAATTGAAAAGAGCTTCTCACTGTCCATTGGCCCAAAAAACTGATGGAAACCAAGAAAAAACAGGATATATGGAAATTTACAATTGACATATATACATAAAAAATTCACTGAAAATTAACAAGCATGCCTCTTCTGCCAGTGATGGAGATCATTTGTGCTACTAACTGCCTCTGATATCCTCTTCAAACGCATCACATTGCCCAGAATTTCTCTGTATCTGGGCTAAACAAGGATAGGTCTTGGATCTCCAGATTTGCTATGTGCCGATTAACCAAGCATGCTTGTAATGACTTAATCAGAAGAAGGATAATCAGCAGAAGCCACCATCCATTGTCCTCCCTGTTCAGAAAAATAAACCCAATTTCATTAGTATTTTCCCAGGGTTAGTATGCATAATGTTTTTTTAAAAAAATATCTGAGCAGAATGTACTCTTTTTCTTAGAAATTCCTATGGTCAAACCAATTCCCGTCCTACTTGCTTTATTTTCCAATAAAGATGGTATGATTCTTTGTTTTTCCAAAATTTAATTATAGGCTTCTTGCTAAGTTGCCATAATCATCATGCCTAACACATCAATGTTTACTTTTATTTTTCATGTTTTACAAAAAACCTAAGGATATTTGAGTGAAGATACAAAAAGCCAAATGACTAAGAATTTCATAATTTACAAGGTTCTTTGGATATATAAGTTGGCATGAAAAACATAGTTAGTGGATTTAGATCACAATGCTAAGGTATCTTGGTCCTACAACTAAAGTTGATTAAGCAATGAGTGGTTCATATGCATGAAGTGACTTGAAACACTGCATAGCACACCTTAATTTGGATGTGTCAAGATTTCCACCAAGTTCTGTGGGCGAAAAACCAGAATATAGAATTCCACAAACAAATGCCACCATCTGCAAGAAATCTATAATTATATATCATGGAATATACTACAGAAACCTTGGTTACAAATTCTTGCATCTTATTTAAATTAACAGCTTAGAGGAAACAAGCAGCCCAGAAACCTGTAAGTGGTAGCCTAAAGCAATATCCAGAGACAATATAGAAATGCAAATAACACTTTATATAAACAAACTAGTAATGTTCTCTATAAATTAGACAAGTTGGAACCTGGTGCAGTCCTTATATACAAGAATAAACTACAGGCTTCGTCTCATATTTTGGACTTCTAACTATATCAAAAGGAGAATTGTTATCTGTCGTATAAGGCAGTGTCTACATAAGTTCATTTAACTCGATAAAATACTGCAAGCTTTTGTAACTATTGGAATCAGTAAAAAGAAAGATGATGCCCTCCACTGATTGTCATACTCATCCTATCAACATATAATTGTTCGATTTTCAATAGGTAAAGTCTTTCTGGAGAAGCGCTTGAAACACTAATAATAAGTCAAGAAAGAATAATTCCCAAGATCAGAGATTAAAATATTGGTCCAACACCTATACAGACTGGTGGGTGGTCTAGTATGGTTATGGTACAGGGTGAGGAACCGACACTTGGTACAGTCAATACCATCTAGAACACACACACACAGAGAGAGAGAGAGAGAGAGGAGGAGGAGGAGGAGGCGGTGGAAGAAGCATGAAATTAAATTTCACTGGGTTTGAGTTGTACTAACCAGTATTTACCAGTCCAGCAGGCACCAAACTTCCCATTTCGAATGGTTTGATCCTGTTTTTTCATTTTCTAAAGATGTTAGTTGCAGGTTTTTCCTTTTACAAGGACCTGAACCAAACCAGTTTTTTTCTTTTAACGAGGATCCAAACTGTCCCGTCTAGGGCTCGTGACTCCTCATGAGCATGTCCTCTTCATGTCATTCGCTGCCCGCTACCTACCACTATTTCTCCTTTTCTTCTTCTCCTCCTCTTCCTCCACCACCTCCTTCTTCCTCCTCTTTATTTCTCTCTTCTTGCTTCCTCCTTCCTTCTTTTCCATTCTCCCTACCCCCCTCCCCAGCAGAATAATATCATGGTACATGCTGGCATACCATATGTCGACATGAACCAGACCCACACCAGTCTGGTTGTTTGACTGGTATGCATTCAATACCTAAAATTTCATTCCTTCGGAAGAGGCAGAGGTGGTGGATTATGGTAGGACTTGGAGGTGGTAATGTGTCAAGCAGCAGGTGGCTGCAATGCAACAGAGAGGAGGTGAAAGGGAGAGAAAGTCTAAAAAACAGAGAGAAAGGGAGAACAAAAAGGAACAAGACACTATGATAGCGGACATCACGATAGGCCTGGTACAATGAGTTTGCCAAGTGATACAATTCATAAAAACTGTATCAGACCATCTCATCCAGGTATGTGTTCGCATTGACTGCCAAACAGGTAAATACAGAACTGTACTTGCTGACATGGTCAGTATTCAAATCATGCTTGAGATACATCTTGACTTATAATTATGAAAATGTTCTAGTATCCACAAATCTTTCACTACCACTTTGTGCTGTTATGCTCAACATCATTTGCCCTTGACACATGAGAGTAAGATTTTCTATATTTTCAAAATGAAAATAACATATTAACTTAGCAGAGAGAACATATTCCAACACTGCAAACGCTAAAAATGTTGATAAGACACTATCAGTAAAAACCCTATCAGAGTACAACCAATCTTCTGATCCATTAAAAATTCACAAGTCCTAGCCAAACTTTGCTTCTAAAGCAGTTGACATCAACACAAAAAATTGAATTAAATCTAGATGTTTCTTTTGTTGTCACCAAAAGAAAATTACAGTGGCTAATTATGCATGTTAAACTGCAGATAAATAATCTACCAATCAGATGTAAATACATGGGTTATAACTTGTCACAAACTACTAGACAAAGTTGGTATCAGTGCCTACATACTTCTCATATGACGGCATAATGTTTGCAAAGTGCAGAGTGTAAAGATATTACAATTTTTTGTTATTATTATTTTTTATGTAGTCAAGGAAGGAACAACATTTCAGAAGCATACTCATTCAACTGAAAGTTAGAAGTGACTTCTACAAAACCAGATGGAAATGCATCATGATGTAAACCAGAACAAGACACATGTTTTTCTTGTAACAGGCATTGAAGGTATAATATGTTGATCAGTTACTCTTGGATCTTGTTAAAACTAGCTTACCCACAAGCCACATAACTTACAATATTTACTATGGATGTAGCATTCCACAGTGCATATACACGAGCAAGTGATGATCTTTTCGGTCCTCGGCTGAATAAAGCATTAAGACCAGCCGGAAAAGGAGAAAGCAGTGATAGGGGAAGTATAAGAAGGACAGCAAGAAAAGCCCCAAGGGATATCCAATAGAATTGAACTAGTGTAAGAAGGGTAACACTAAAATCTCCCAAAAGCATGATACATATCAGCAGCTGTAATGTTTCCTGAAATAAAAGCAATCATATCATCCTTACAAAATTTGGCCTGAAAATGTTAAAAGTTTAAAGGCTCTTTAACACCACATCATTACCTGAAAGCCTACAGGCCTGGTATTTTG